TTAGAGCTTCAGAGCAGTGCCTTTTGTTTAACCTGAACAAAGCAAATGTGATGCCTACTTGTGTATTTATTGGGGCAATTGGAAGTCAACGTGCAAGGCAGATATTTGCAGTTATGTATCCATTCAGGCTGGATTTTTGTACTCTCTTGAATGCATAAGATTAATTTGTTTCCCATGAGTTTACTTATGTTGAATGGTTTATAAAATTGTCACCATGAAGTTCACGTTATTTGTCCCTCTGTTCAGCATTTAGTTTTGAATTTAGCTTCAATTGATTTTGTCTTTAATCGGTTGCACACACCAGTGCTTCCCAACATATCCCAGACATTAGTTCTGCACTTTAAAAAGAAGCTGCTTGTATTTTGCAGTATGTGAATATTTAATTGGCTATTTATAAAATCAAACTATACAAATTATTTTAGTACTATAGGTATGGTACATATATGTTGTCCAATATTTAATATTGATAAGAAATCTAATCTATACTTCAATATACTTCTTGAAGTTGTAAAAGCTAATAGTACTGTTTGGAAAAATAGTTTCATCATGTTCCCCATTTTAGCATTAATCCATTTAATTATGTGCTGCATTTAAAAAGTGTGGGTAGATGCTGTCATTATACTAATGTAATTAGCTCTTTCTTCCTTTTATTTATATGGGCCAACTAACTACTTGATGCAGTTCTAAGACAATTGATCCTAAGGTTTTTCCAAATCCCAATTATACTTTCTATTAATCAACCTCTTGTGATTATTTCTTCTTTTCAACATTATTCTAATTTGAATGAGGAAAAATTTAGTAATAATGACATGTCTGTTAGCAAGTTTGGATCTGCAGTTGTATGGCTGAGTGAGTCCAAGACCTACTGTCCAATTGCCATGTCAAGAAGCAGACATTCAAAGAGTATCCTCATAACAGAAGAAGTTGTTGGAGTAAAGCAAGATTGCACAGAGCCTGCTGCTATTATGGGTTTTCAGTGCTAACTATAGTGCAACATTTGCTTATGAAGAACAATTCATAGAACCATTTCCATCTAATTAGGATCAGATGTACATCAGCTTCTGGTCTACTTACTTCTGTGCTATAATTACAAATGTATGTTCAATTCTCTATGCCTCTTGTTCTTTCGTATCACTAAAAAAAATACTCATTTTGAGCAGCAAACTATGTGAAACTGTTTTGAAATGAAATGGCTGTGTCAATTATCTTTCTAGTATTATAGACAGCTGCCATGGGTGAATATCATATTGAGAGAATCTCTCCCCTATTGTGTAACAATCTAATTAAATTTAAATTCTCCAACTGAGAAAAACAGATTACGTTTGAGAAAACTTTGCTTCTTGGGGAAGTGGCTATGGTATAATTTGTATTGTTTGTTTTTATTTTTGAAACAATTGAGAAGTATGAAATTGAATTTAATAATACATTATAGTGCTGAATATTGAACCACGTACGTACTCACAATTGTAGATCTGAGGACTTAAGAACTTAAAAAATTAGCCTGCAGATGATAAAGGTAAGATGAAAGGGTAGGCTGCAAATGATAAGGGTAGCAGGATAAAATGGGGGTGATGTTGTACATTTGACTAATATAAACAGAAATCAATAACAATGCTTATGATTTTAAAAAGTATGGCAACAATGGAAAAATAATGAAGGAGCAGGGAGATACAAAGTCAGGTATCTACATGCATTATTTCAGTGTTTTTATAATGGCCAGGGACATTAGAAATAGTTTCAAAAATCGGTCTGGCTAAGCTCCAAGACAGGTTTTTCTAGACCTCATATATCCAGTTCTCTTCAAAATGGTTGGAGGTAGTTAGTATCAGAGTGCAAGGCCTCCCTTAGATTTAAGAGATCACTGTCTGTTTTTTGCTACTCATGTTATTTCAACTATGACTTCCTTACCTGCAATGGCAGGGAGCCTTGGTGTTATTTTGACATTGGCTGATGATACCTTATACAAATAGTTATTTGGCTTATAACAAAAAGTTTATTCTGCTGATCTCTAGGGAGAGAAGAGAAACTGAAAGCCTGAGAGATGGAACTGAAAACCATAGTATTGGCCTAACTCACAGGTCGGCAACCTGCGGCTCTGGAGCCAAATGCGGCTCTTTGAGCCTTCCCCTGTGGCTCCCAGAGAGCTTCCCTTCTCCCTCCCTCCCTCCCCCCTCTCTCTCCATGTGTATAAAAAAAGAGAGTGGCCTCACCCTGTTCGACGAGCCAACAAGCTTACTGGGTGGGGTTCCTGCCTTGGCTGCGTCTCTGCAGGAAGCAGGAAGGGCAGGAGAAAGCTAGCTAGCCCAGCTATGCTGGCTCAGGAATTCTGGGAGTTGAAGTCCATGAGTCATAAAAGAGCCGAGGTTGCCTACCCCCGAGCTTGTTGGAGAACAGTTTGAAGCCAGCTTGCCAGGTGAGCAGAAGATCGGAGAGACCAAGAGAGAAGGGAGAAAGAAAGAGAGGGGAGGGGAAGAAAAAGAAAGGGAGAGAGAGAAAGAAAGAGAGAGGATTGGCAGACCAAGGGCAGAGAGAGAGAGAGGGAGGGAGAGACAGAGAGAGAGACCCTTTTGACATCTAAAATGAAGATAACACTATATATATAGGATATATGCAGTGTTATCTTCATTTTAGATAGCAAAAGGGTTTTGCGGCTCCCCGTGTTTTGTTTTCAGTGGGAAATGGGTCTAAGTGGCTCTTTGAGTGTTTTGGGTTGCCTACCCCTGGCCTAACTGTAAAAAAAAAACAAACGGGTGGAGCTCATAAATGGGAGCAAAGGTACTCAGTGTAGCTGTGAGACGTAGGATACAGTGTAGACCCAAAACAATCCAGATTCAAATATGTTGCAAGCAGAAAAAGGGGATTTAAAGTGCTGATAATCAGACAGAGGCAGCAAATTATTGTGTATTTAAAGGCATGCACTCTTATGCTCTGTGTTTCATTTATACCAGATGGAAACTATTTTCTAAGTTACACAGTGAACGAATGCTAAAACTCAGTATTGCCCAAAATCAATCAGGTAATGAATCTACAGGCAAAATTATTAAATTAAATAATAGTTTACTTCTGACTATATGCAAATGTTTTTGAATAAGTGTTGCTATTTATCTCCACAACCAACTGTTTCTCTTCCTCACACCATGCATTTATTATAGAGACCACTACCTACAATGAAAGAAGATACATGAGATATTCGTGACAATTATCCAAGCCTTGTTTTCCAGCTTGTCTCAACTGCTCCTCTTCATTTATGGGCAAATTGTTTCTATTCCTAGATGAAAAGGAGGAAGATAAATCAGATAATAAACAATAGATCTTCATATTCATTTCTACAATTTATTTTGGAGCTGAATGATCTTGCCCCCTAATCTGTTTTAAGGGAAATGTGTTTGTGAAAGAATACAATTTTAAAACAGAAGGACATATTATTCCTCATCTCTCAACTGATTAACTGTAACAGCAGATATTGTTTGATTCCCATTGCACAAATTATTGATCAATGTGTATATCAAATGAAGTAATCAAATGATATGTTTTACTTCTCAATAATACCATTTTTCTTTATATTTAATGGTGAATGAAACAGAAAGAACCCGCCAAGAGTTAAAGATTGCTTTTAACACAGGAGTGTAAAAAGGATTATAAATTGCATTTGAATGGATTTTAGTTAGCTAAAGTAGAAATCAGTTTTCTGGATAAATATTATTTCATTTTAGAGAATTAGAATGTGTTTTTAGGAATGGAAAAATATCTAATTCCACAAAATTTGTTTTGTGTGTGTGCATGTATGCCTTTGAATCAGTCTTGACTCCTGACCACTAACTGGCTGCAGTTTTCTTTGCAAGATTTTCAGAAGTGCCATTGCCTCCTTCCTAGGGCTGAGAGATTGTGACAAGCCTAAAGTCACCCAGCTGGTTTTGTGCCTAAGGTGAGACTAGAATTCACAGTCTCCTGCTGGTACTGAATTCCATGAAATATAGAATATCAAATAGCAGCAGTGTGGAGTACCTACATCTCCATTTTATTTATATACTTGAACCTTAATATTTTCAAGGACTTCAACAGTATTTAAACATTCACATATATCAGTGATGGCGAACCTTTTAGAGACTGAATGTCCAAACTGCAACCCAAAACCCACTTATGCATCGTCGGGTGCCGGATGGGTGTGGCCCATTGGGTGGGTTGGCCCATTGGGTGGGCGTGGCTGCAGTGGTAACAGCAGACTAGGTGGGATTAAAAAGTTCAATCAATCAATTCCAACTTTGCAAGATCTTTTTTTTCCTGCGAGAAGTTGAAATTGACTGATTGATTGAACCTTTTTTTTTTTTGTACACAGTGACGGAGGCCTAAAGCGAAAAGGTTTTATAAAACCCAGCTGAAGGCGTAGGACTGGGGCAATGGCGCACATGCCCGCAGAGAGGGCTCTGAGTGCCACCTCTGGCACCCGTGCCATAGGTTCACCCACCACTGACATATATAATTAATTTGGGCTAAACTGATTACTCAACATGCACATAACAACTTAACATGGGAAAATTGGATATGGATTCTCTATATTCATTCTTGGCAACTTATTCACTCCTTTTCAATTGCAGATTGTGAGCTGTAGAAAATATTCAATTATAAATTTGTCACATAACTAAAGGCAAGCTGTCACTTTCCAGATTCCCTTTTCCTCCTCATATGTCTATTAAGTATTTGAATTCCAGATTAACAGTTGGTCTCAAACACAAGTTCTCCAATCCTGCATATGCCAGCAAGGAATCTCGGGAAGACTTCCAGAGTTACTTCTAGAGAAGAACGAACACCAGCCACACTTTTTTTTTTAACTCTCTCCATAGATCCTTAAAAGTGAAATACACAAAAATAGTTTGCAGTAGCTTCTATGACAGCTACTTGGCTTCTATATATTTCTCTATTATAGTATTAATTTTATCCCATGATGAAAGTTTTTAAGAACTTGCTTATCCTATAACAACAATTTTGATGTATCCTTACAGGATGGTGGTTTGTAAGTACTTCAGAAGAGCAAGGCTGGGTCCCTGCAACTTACTTGGAATCCCAAAGTGGAATTAGAGATGATTCTGAAATTAACATGTCCAAAAGAGGAGAAGGTAAGAGAACCTGATGCACTTTCAGGCACTTATCTGCATTCAAATATAGTGCAGCTAAAAATGGAGAAGCAAGGAAGTGTAAAAATTTATTACTGTGATCCAGAGCTTCTTGATTATAAGAATGGGGCCCATAGGGAATATAAGAAATATTTGTTTTTTGAATTATACAGAAAAATATAGAAAGTGTAAGCGTTCAACATAATTGTTAATTTTGTATGATAATAGCAATGCAAAACTTCTAGCAATTACCTGGAATAATTATAACAGTGATTTATATTGGTAATATATTCCTATTAATTGGCAAGAGATTTAGGATCCAATAACTTATTATTCCAATTTTCTCTTTAATTTCTTATAGTTGGGAAAGTCAATGTGTAATGTCTATAAAACTCTCAATTTTAAAATATTTTAAAAATGAAATACATGCTTAATTGTATGCAGATATTGCAATGTAAATGTTATTGTACTTTTGTTCTATTTCACAAGCATATTTGTCTGATTACAGTATGCTATAAAATCTGGCAAATACCCATTCTCCAAAAAGTGCTTTTAGCTAACTTCCTTTGGATAGTGCTAACTGAATCCACCTATTCCCATGTATTTGCTCCATTTCAGCATATATTTTTCTCATTATTGCATTCCTATATAAGTTGTTCATCATTTAAACCCTGAGTAACTGTGCACAGAGGACACTTATCATTAAGTTTTGTTAAGGATCCTAGTGTAGTGACAGCTTGATTATATTCCACTGAACTATGCCTAGAGATAAAAAATCAGAACATATTACTACAGCAAAATAATGGAGTGGAGGTAGCTAATACTCCATACTGTAGCATCAGTTTTAAGCCAGCTATGTTTAAACAGAAGTGCAAATGTTGTGGAGAGCCAGAGAGCAAGTTTTCTGTAATTCATCAGCATTTGCCTCTTGGAGAGCAGAGCACCGATGATGATATTTGGCCAGTTGAAGAAAAAATCTATACAAGTAGAAAGATTCAGCTGACATATTAGAGGATGCTGGATGGTAGACAATGATATGGCAAAATAATGTTTGATTAATAGACTAGGGAATTCTTGAATCAGTTTTAGATGGGCAATCTACAAAGAGCCAGTTTGGCCCAGTGGTTAAGGCACCAGTTCAAGTCCTACCTTGCCATAAAACCCATTTGGATGACTTTGGGCCTATTGCTCTCTCTCAACTCAGCCCACCTCACAGGGCTGCTATTAGGAGCAGGGAGGTGTGCTGGTAAAAATAAAAAGGCAAGATACAAATAAAAAATAATATAAAAAAATAATAAACAAAATCAAATTTAACTGGAATGTTAATACAAGCTTACATATTAATACAAGCTTACAGAAAGTAGAGCTGCTTAACTTATTCTTTGTATCGGTCTTCATGCAAAAAGAAATTATAGCCCAACATACCAAAAAAAACTACTGAAAAATACAAACTAGAAACAAAAATTAAAATAAGCAAGAAAATTGTATTCATCAACCTTGATGAATATAAATCACCAGGACCCGACAGATTACATCCCAGTGTTCTGAAGGAGCTGGCAGATGTTATCTCAGAATCATTGCATCATATCTTTAAAAAATCCTGGAATACCAGTGAAGCACCTGAGGTTTGGAAAAGGGCTGATGTGGTTCCTATCTTCAAGAAAGAGAAACTATAGACCAATCAGTCTAACATCAATACCTGGGAAGATCCTAGAAAAGATAATCAAAAAACAGATCTGTGAACAACTAGAAGCAAACAAAGTTATAACTGTTAGCCAGGAACAGATCATGCCAAAGCAATCTTATTTCATTCCTTGATAAAGTGACTAAATTAGTAGACCAGCAAAATGCTGTGGACATAGTATACTTTGATTTTAATAAGGCATTTGACAAAATAGACCACAATCTACTGCTTGGTGAACTACAAATAGGTGGAATAGACAACATCACCACCAGATGGATTTGTAGCTGGCTAACAAACCATACTCAATGAGTAATCCTCAATGGTACTACATCCACATGGAGAGAAGTAAGCAGTGGGGTACTACAAGGCTCCATCTTATGCCCAGTACTCTTCAATATCTTACTTAATGACTTAGATGAAGGAATAGAAGGGGAACTCATCAAATTTGCAGATGACACTAAACTGGTAGGAATAGCCAACACCCCAGAAGACAAGCTCATGATCCAAAAAGATCTTGACAAACTTGAACAATGGGTCCTATCCAACAAAATGAGTTTTAATGTGGAGAAAAGCAAAGTTTTACATTTAGGTAGGAAAAAATCAAAGGTTTAAGTACAGATTAGGTGAGACATGGTTCAAAAACAGCAACTGTGAGAGTCCTAGTAGACGATCACTTGACTATGAGCCAGCAGTGTGTAGCAGCAGCCAAGAAAGCTAATAGAGTCAAGAGTTGTATAAACAGAGGCATAGAATCAAGAACATGCAAAGTATTAGTACTGCTTTATAAAACCCTAGTGAGACCACACCTGGAATACTGCAACCAATTTTGGTCACCATACTACAAAAAAGATGTTGAGACGTTGGAAAAAGTACAGAGAAGAGCAACTAAGATTATCAAAGGCCTGGAGACTAAAACATATGAAGAACAGCTGCAGGACTTGGGTTTGGCTAATCTAAAGAAAAGAAGAAATAGGGTGATATGATAGCAGTATTCAGTATTTGAGGGGCTTCCACAAAGAATAGGGGGTCAAATTATTCTCCAAAGCACTAGAGGGCAGGACAAGAAACAATGGCTGGAAACTGATCAAAGAGAGAAGCAACCTGGAATTAAGGAGAAACTTCCTGTGAGGAAAATTAACCAGTGGAACAGCTTGCCTTCAGAAATCGTGGGTGCTCCATCACTGGAGATTTTAAAGAAGAGACTAGACAATCACCTGTCTGAAATGGTATAGGTTCTCCTGCTTGAGGAGGGGGCTGGACTAGAAGACCTCCAAGGTCCCTTTCAGTTCTATCCTATCTTATTCTTCCTCACAGGAATTCTTTAATTTTTTTTACCCAAGACTAAAACTGGTAGATTTATTTCTTTCTCTTTATACATTGAACTTGAAAATATTCAGTTATAAATGCAAGAAACGTGTTACTTTCTGAAAAAAATCAACAGTGAAATGTCCTCTGTGTTCATCTGTTTTAACTATTACACCGTCACAAAGAATTCTTTCTTTTTATACACAAATGAGTCTCTGCATATTGAATAGATGAGTTTGTTATATCAGACAGCACATATAAATGCCTTGAATCTCTCTAAATGTCATTGTTAAAGAATCATAAAATTGGTCTTAAGATAGAAATTGTGTATGCTAACTCTTCCAAACTTTGGCTCAATTCATCTCTTCCTCAGATTGCCTAAAATATTTTAATTATCTGTTTGGGATAGATCAGAGATATTCCTTCCTCGTCCTGCTCATACCTCCACGATGTTACCTGTTTCCTGGACCTTACTTCCAATTTATTAGGTTTTCAAGAAAATCTTTTTCAAAAAGTCTGAAACCTAAATAAAGAACTGATTTGGATGTTCATTGTTTTAAAGGCTGATTTTGCTTCTTAGAAACAAAAACAAAACAAAACAAAACATGCAGCCTCTTAGAATTGCAGGAGGTCCTCATTTAATGACCATTCATTCAGCAATCTTTCAAACATGTAACAGTGCTACTAAGAGTGGTAGTTACAACAAGATCTTGTACTAATTATGGTTGTTGCAGCATCCCAGAATCACATGATTGCAATTTGTGGCTTTCTCTTCTGGCTTCCCACAAAAAAAGTCAGTGTGGAAACCAGCAGTAAGTCAAATGCTATAGTCATGCTTAATGACATGTGGTAAAGTAATCTCATTACATTATTTATCTCACATCACATTCTTGTTAATGCAAGGTGAAGCTATGCAATGATCATTGTTTTTTATTCAGTTTGTGTTCTCCATCCATCACATTTTAAGTTTCTTTCCTTTTTTATGCTTTCATCCATTTTTCCAAAATAGTTTCTAAGAGACGCAAGGCTCACCTGAGGCGCTTGGACCGGCGATGGACACTGGGAGGGATGGTCAACAGGCAGCAGAGTCGAGGTGAACATTTTTCTGGGGTGTGGTCCCTTGAAGGATGCACATGCTGGTTGCTGCTGCTTCTCTTGCTATCGGACACTGCTAAGAATGGCTGGCAGCTATATAGGCTTTCATAGGGCCTTGTTTTCCCGCAGCAGAAAGAAATCTGTTTGCAGTGAAGATAGAGGGCAGTATAATGTTATCTGCATTTCAACATATCAACAGGAGTCAATTAATGTCATTAGAGGCACTTGTGTTTTTACAAACAATTGTTCTGGTAGTCTAATCTGTAGCAAAACCTGGGATTGTTGAGAATCTTTTTCTGTATTTATTTAAAGGTATGTTTATTCTAGCTTCATGCAGAAAGATATACCTACATTTTTTCTATTTTTTAAAAAATTGGTTAAAATTACGTTATGAGTTCTTCTAAATGAGAAAACAATTTTGGAAACTTTCTCAAGAGGAATGTGGCAATCTTAACAGTTATGAGAGGGGCATATGTTATGTTCAGGCTTTTTATTGACTAATCATCTTTCCTGTGATCTATAGTCTCCTTGACCTTCCTTGCTTCCCTAGAGAGATTCTAAGACAGACATGTCAAACTCGCGACATCACGTGACGTCGCGCAACATATCGGGACAGTTTTTCCATTGCTGGCAATGGGGTGGGTGTGTGATACATCCGGCCGGCCTGCCAGCAGTTTGACACCCCTGTTCTAAGAGATCAGGAGTTACCACTTCCAATTCAGTTTTTTCACTAGAAGCATTGTTGTTATTCATAAGAGGAAGTCCTGCCTTTGAGAAATTACTGAAACAAATTTGATTGGGGAAGTCAGTTTCTCTTCCCCATTTGGCAACTGAAAATTGTACAAATCTAGAATTCACTTTGAAATTGTTTTAAAAAATAAGTTAACTACCACATTTGGCATTTGGATTAAAAAGAAAAGCTTTCCAAATCCTTGGTTAATAGTTTATATTAACTTTTTTTAAAAAAAAAATTCCCAGAGGAGGGAAAGCAAAGTAAAGTGATTTACAAAAGCTTACGTATAATCCAAAGAATGGCTTATTGTACATGTGAACATATTCCAAAACAGAAAAAAAGTTACAGTATATAAACAAATTATGTGTCATACTATAGAAACAAGTATGTGACAATATATATCAGCAATGCTTTTGGTTCATCAAGAACCTGGTTTATTTTCTATTAATTCCTCTTTTATCTGGTAGAGAAGAAAAGTGATTTTTTTTTCCTCTTACGAGTTCCCAAATGTTATTGAATATTTCCCCTTATCCTTCCACATTGTCAGATATTTAAATTGGTTTAATAAATATATAAAAGTTCATTTAATAAATTTAAAATACCATCACTGAACATAAATTTCTGAAGTGCTAGTATTTAGTTCGAGTTCTAATGTTTGCTTGCAAGACAGTAGGCAGATTTAAGTGCCTGAGAAAGATTGAATAAGAGAATGTTGAAGACACTTTTTAAAAGATATTTAGGTTGTCTGTTGGAATCAGCTTTTGCATGCTATGTGATTAAACTCATTTGTATCAAGTAATCTTAGATTCCAAAATGTTTCTAACAACTGAATCAGTACAAATCAAATCAGGTTACTATGTTTAGCATTAAAAATAAATATATTGTATGAAATTTATATTTTTATAATTTATCAACAATGGGCATGGGTGTCAAACTCGCCGTGTCATGTGATGTGTTGCGACATATCACAACTTTTTTTGCATTGCCAGCGCTAAGGGCGCAGCCTCCGCATGATGCAACCAGCTCACGGGCCAGCAGTTTGACACCCCTGGGTTGGAGCAATATAGTAATAAACTTCTTGCATATAATGCTTTTGCTTTATACTTTTCAGTAAAGAGTATGTGTTAAAAAAAAACTAACGTCTTTTATAGTCATGAAATTTGTTATCCTTGGTTGTAGCACATCATTTAAAAAAGAGACACAACAGTTACTGCTTGTATTTGAAGCCTGAAGGTATTGATTTAATGCCATTTGGAGAGATGTATTTGTTAAAAGGACGCATGATTAGAGGAATATCTATTATGGTCATAAATGTTCTAAAACATTAGTATTAGGTCATCATTGAAGAACAATTCTTAGATACAGAATCTTGGCCTAAATGAGGTGATTTAAAGAAAGGAATGAGTAGAGTGAAAAGATTGCTGACTGAGAGGAAAACGTCTTTAAGAATTATTTTGTGGTTTGGAAAACAGAATTTGAGCTATTGCATTTTGCTTAGGACCCTTAATTAGATCATCTTCTAAACTGCATGCCTTTTCTTCCAGTTTTTCCACATATACTCGGATCCTATAGTGATGTTCCATAACTGATACAGTGCCACAAATTAAACAAGTGGATACGTTTCCTTGCTTCAGCTCTTCTGTTACATAGGCAGTAATTAAGATGGAGAACTAGAAATGATCATTTCAATTTTATCTGTGAATTCAAAACTGCCCTGAGGTTGGTAGATAGGCTTTTGTATGGTAGCCACTTGCATCCAGCATTATTTTTTTTTCAACAGGAAGTATCAGTGCAGAGGAAATGGCTAGATTTGCTGAACAAATATAATCCAATCTGTAAGGTAGATTTATTTCTTGGTTAGTTTGTGGTGTGTGAAGAAATTTACTTGTGGACAAATTTGAGGTGAGCATCAGTTTTTCTTAATGAACTGCTACTTCCACTTCACTACTTTCCAATTTTGAGCCAGTGTTTTTCTGATGGAAGGCATTTTATCCTTTAGTCTTTTTCTGCCTTGCTTTTCTTTTGTTAAATAAACAAAGTAAATGTTTCAGAATTCATGTTCAATTTTGGATCCATTTTTCCAGAGGAAATGAATCTTTGGAAACCAGACTTGATGATGGGTAAACTTCAGCTGTTTAGTAGTTGTATATTATACTTCAAGCCCAAACCTTATTTGAACTATCTGAATCATTTAAAACAAGGTTTGCTGTGAGTCAGCTTTTTGTAGCAATATAGCTTATGTCAGCTGTGTATGTATTTATCATAAAACTTAGTTTAAAAAAGATAAAACTGCAAAAGGAAATGCTGAACTGATAATACTTGTAGCAGGAAGTACTACTAATAATAACCACCACAATGTATTGTTCATTGCCAATAACATCTCCAGACTCTTTATTTCAAATTCATTGTGCCCTATAGAGCACAAAGAGAATTTCTAAAATTCTGGGATACAAAAGATACAAAAGTTTTTGATTGATAAAATTATTTTTTTAAAACTGTAAATGGCATAAAATAAACTGGATTGATTTCAAAAAGCATTTAAATCCATGGTTCAATTTAAAATCTTTAATTTTTTGTAAGTAATAAGAAAATTATAATAAAAAGTGTTTAATACAGTGGAAAAATAGAGAACTATACTGAGGGCAAAGGGGAACTTGGTAAATAGCAATATCAGAAGAGGAGTTTTTTTGAAGTCACTCTTTGTTTCCATTATTTTTTAACAAGATTGCTTTGAACAAAATGTTATCAAACTAATTATCCAAGCTATGTGAATGACTTGAAATAATATGTAAAATCATCTAAAGAAACATACTTCTTTTAAATATAAAAAAATTGAATATTTAAGGGTGATATCAAAATGGAATTGCTGGAATAGTGCTAACTTCGAAGCACTGACAATGAAAAAAAAATTATAATTATTTAAAGATTTTAAAAACAAATGTTTTTCATACCCAAGCAGGCAAAAACCCAAACCTACTTTGAATAGGTAAAATAATTAATTTCAAAATAGTGATAATATACTTAGTCTGTCCCTATAAGATGCTACAATAGGCTTTTGTTGACAGAGATAAAATGAAAGGTCTAAATAATTATATAAAACAAGCAAAGAGAACATGTTAATAAATATTTGCAAGGAAATCATTTTGTGACAGAATCAAAGGTAGTATACAAAACTGAATAGCTATAGCAACTAATGAAAATATAAATCTTTTCATGTTCAATATCTGAAGGAAATTGAAGGCAATGTAAATAGTAACAAAATTTGACAATGACTTCAGACTGGCTCCATCAAGAAACATAAGGTTTAGCATTTGCAGTAGAAGATTACAAGCACTAGAACAAGCGTAATAAAAATAAGGATTCAAAAATTATGAACAACATCAAATGAAGTTAGATGAGTATTGATCAAGTAATAAACACCTGTAGAAAATTAAACAGATTAGGCAAGATATGATTGCATGGCAAAATGGTAAATTGGAATTTATATAAAAAATTGGTGTGATCGCAGTATTGAAAAATTGTTTTAGGACCACGTAAAAAGTTTATGTGACTCTTAAGGTCAGATGACTGACATGTAGAGGACAACACTGGATATTTAAATAGTTGGGGGGAAAAAACATATACAGTAGATGTGGCAACACCAAATGAAATCAGAGTAGCTTGAAAAGTAATGGAGACAATTGTAAAATATTTGGATTTAATAATTGAAACACATAGATTATGGAAAAATCTGGCAAAATTTTCCCTATAATGAAGAATTAGGAACTATAACAATAGCTGGTTGAAATTTGTCTTTGAAATTTCTTTTTAATTAATTGAGCTCTGTTTTTTTCTGCCTAGTTTTAATTTCTTATTTGTTGGCAGACAGTAATGAGATGGGTGGCCAAATGAAGTGTTTAAATAGAACAATATATTCAACCTCACAATACTTTTGTTTACAAAAAACAGCTTTTCATAAACCACATACATAGTATAGAAGCACTTGAACTATTTTTAGACTTTGGGAGACCAAACATTTTCTCATCCTTCTCTGAAAAGGATAAAAATAGATTAAAATTATCCAAATCAATTGTCTTGGGTGGGGCATACCATCACTTCTCTGAGAGGCATTGTCACAGCATGGATCAACCCATATGTATTGTCCTTGGAGGCTTTAACCAACCAGGAAATGCATGGATCTAATATACAAGTGGCTGTACTGACAGCTCCAAAAATTCTGTATACTTTCTTGAGACTGAACTCATCCCAAAATTTGTTTCAATCATGTTTATAGGAATCATCTGTATAGGAATTGACTAGATGGAGTCTATCTCGGAATAAAGCAGAAAGACTTTATCCACCAGTTGTAAGGACACTATATTTTAAGAAAGATGTAGAGAAATTGGAACAGGTCAAGAAAAGACCCCTATGGATGTTCGGGTCATTAGAAACTGTGTCTTGGGAAGAGACATTGAAAGTGCAAGATATATTTCAATTTCAAGCTATATTGAAGAATATAGCTGCACCGTTCAAATACAGATGTCACATAGAATCAGAATCTTTTTGCTTTCTAGTCCAAATGTTCAATACATATAAATATGAATTTAAGTTACAGGAAGGTAGATTATGTTTTTTTACGGGGGAAAAACTGTTATTAGTAGATGAACAATGGAACTGACCACAGTGACAGATGGGGGGCTTTCCTTCAGCTGATGTGCTTAAATGGACACCATACAGCTGCCATCTGGAATGCTTTGATTTGGAATTCTTGCCCTGAGCAGAACATTGGATATAAGGGTATGAATGGCAATTCCAATATGACTGCTAAGAATTATATAAAATTATTCTTCTTGCTCCTGATATCTTCCCCCCTTTTAATATTGCAGTTTTGACCTGCAACATTAAGCACGAAACAAGAGGAATTGGGTAATTTATAATCCTCAGAATCTTACATTCCAAGTCCATCTCTCCAAGAGTAATAGTCAGACAATATGAGAATCTGGAGATACACAGATTGAGTCCAGAGACCACAGTTCACTCAGCTCTTCTCAGTATGATAGTGCATTACAAAAACAACTTTTGGTAAAGTACTTCATATAGAACTGTATCCCATTTAACTGAATAGCCTAACAGTCTTCCTTCGAATCTTTTCTGTCAACACCGAGTAGTCAGATGATGTACATACTCCTATATTCTCTACACAATCAGACAATTTTTTATGTTAAAGTATTGAGGCTTAGGAAGCAGGCAAAATGTTATTTATTATACATGAGTCACATAAAACATTCTAATGTTTAACTGGTTTACTCTGAACTTTATAACAGCTGTAGTGGCTCCTCCAAAATGCTGCTGAATCCTTTGTTGGAAACTACATTTATTTTTATTTAAATGAACGCTTGACAGATAAGCTGACACCTCATTATTCATCAAAAATGCTTATGTTTTATATCATAGTTTTCAAAATCGGCTATGCATGAAGAGTGGTTTGGAATTATTTTTTCCTTCCTTTTTCCACCAAGATGTATAATGAAAAACAGTTTACTCTATATGAAATATTAATGTCCTGATGCCATTAGTTTATTTGAAGGGGACGAGAGAGTGGTATTTGTATTAAGAAGTAAGTTATATGTTCATTATGTTTGTTGCATAAACTCATTTGCCGCTGGGAATCAGATTGGTATCATTCCACTATGGGTACTAGTGTCACGAGCAATGATCTAGTACAGGTCCACAGTATTTTTATAACACATGGCTGCATAAGGAAAACCATGTAACACAGGATTTCCCAGATGATATTAGAATATACTTTATTCATCATTCCAATTAGTATGGTCAATCATCATTCCAACTGTATCTAGAGATAATAGTGCCCTAAAGCCCCTCTTTGTCTTTCTTTTTTCTTGTTTTTAACTATTTTTATTATAATAGTTGCATATAGCTTTTATGTTTATTTGTCTCCCATTTCAATGAGAGAGATGGGCAATTTCTAAATTTGATAAATAAAATATGGGAAAGACCTATGTGTTTACTAAATGTTTTATAAACCTAGAGGTTTATAAGGTTTATGAGAGGTTTACAGTACATATTTTGAAAGGGCAGAACTGTGCTATCAATTTTGCTACGTGACTGTACTTCCTTCATTGTAATATGAAATAAAAAGCAGCCATTCTAATGAATCACAGTTGCCAGCATTGATTCTGTTCACATAGACTTTCTTGTTTTTTAACCAGCAACAGAAAGTAGTTGATTCACAAGCTATGCTGAAAACAGTATGTTAAAACTGTCAGTAAACAGGAAGCAAGAGCAATCCTGTCTGCATTCTGTTATCTCCTATCCTCTTATTAGCAATATGTAAAACCTCACAGCTGGTCAATAAGATTATGAAGATTCTTCAAACTATGCCAAGCACCTAAGTTCAACCAATGCTACTGACCATAGTCCAGATTTGTTGATGTGCAAGTTACAAAAGAAGTTAAACCAGTTTCAGTTCCATGGCTAAAAATCAGAAATCCTTGTAGCAGTAATGGTGGATTAAGCATCCACAGTAAACCCTTATGTTATCTGAATTAGCCTGGAATCTCATGAGTCCTGGCAAACCACACTATATCTGATTATGTTCTATACACCATCCTTCAATTTTAAAACAGCTGAGACTAATCTACTCCAGATATTCATAATCTCCCCCATCCCTTCCATTTATGAAGTTTTTTATGAGATTGCTTTTATCCATCTTCATTGGCTCTAATAGCAATCTGAAACTAACCCTTTCTCTTGGGATTTTTCTCCTATTTAATTTGTTGTGTTTAAATTTCTGCAGTTTCAAATAATCTAGTTGATGTCATACTATCTACTATTAAAATTCTTTATTTTCCTCTGAAACCTTATCCCCCATTTCTTTAAAAACATTTTACATAAGAAACTTGGCTTCCTTATCCACAGTGTTCAACCATATGCAGATGTATTATTTATGTGGGGATATTTTGCTTCTATAACTTCTTTTAGGACACATGCTCTAGAAATAGGCAACAGCATATCAGCATACAATTTCCACAATTTAGGCTTCTTCTGATAAAAGATTTGGGTAACTTCGTCTCCAATCTGACATAACCTTAAATGTGTGCTGTAATGATTTTTAAGGAGGCCCATGTTCAAGTCCTTACTTAGCAATAAACTTTCTAGATGGCTTTGGGCTGATCAGCCAATTTTCCTTATAGTATTTTTGTCAAGAAAGAAGACTTCTGAATGTGTCTCTTTGAGGTCTTAGAAAAGTAATCGTTTTCCGTAGAGTCCCTTCCATCACTTGTGTAATATCTCCTGAAAGCTGTTCATGGAATAGGGTAGGACAACCACTTCTGCCATACCAACTGTTTGTGTATGCCAGTCTCCAATTAAGGTGAAAGAATTCTGCTTCAAATCTTATTTGTAAAGACAGCTGGGTTATCTGTAGCCTTGGCTTATTTTCCCTTTCTAAATTCTTATAAGAACTATAAATTGGAAAAATATATAATGTAGCTATTCTCAAGTTCCTTTGGAAGAAAAAGAGGATATACAAATACTAAATAAGGATTTTGCACTTTAAATATTAAAGTGAGGACAGAAACTGTCCTGATAATCCAAAAACAATATCAGGAGGAGTGTTTCTGGATTAACAGGATCATGCCTGCCTTTGGATCAAGGTCTGCGAGAAATACCAGACAATGTTGATACCTAGTTTAACAGGAGTATACCTCAGAGGTAGACTACACGCCCTCTCGTATGGAAGATCCAAGTTCAGGCCCACAACTTATCAATGTAAAATCCTTCCCTCTATATAACCAGTACTGGCTTAAAAGGACCAGTGTTCCTATGAACATGGTTAACTAAATTGTGGGATGTGTTTTCCTGATGGTGCAAGTGTTTATGGTAATCCAGGAGGTTAACAATGAATTAGCAATTTTTATTTTAAAAAAGTCTAAAAAGATACACTTGCTCTTCTTTCATGAGTAGAGACAACCTGGAAAGCAGAATATGATCTAATCAACAAAAGCAAATCCTGGCTGCTTTGTACTGAAACGTGATATTGTCTGTAGGAATGTTCCTCTGTGTTGAAGAGTTTTGGTCATGCTCCAGCTTCACTGTACAGATTCCAGTAATGCAGGGTTAATATAATCATGTGTATGCTAAATGGAGCCAGCTGGAGAAGATTCCTCCAGTGCTGCTTTGCTTCTTTGGCAGCTTGTTTGATTTTTTGTCAATACCATATGTATAATGCAGGGGACCCCCTTCTCTAGACACCCTGTCTCATTTATTGGCATGAAAGAAGCTGGGCGGTGGTGATGGTGCTGACACAGGCATGCTTACAGTATGATAATTAATAGGTATATGATCTCACAAGCAAGACTCCACCTCTACAATGCTCAAGGATTTTAATTGCCTGCAAAATAATTTGAAATCACAATGAGAGAAGAGAAAACAGCTGTTTGATCTTAACTAATGTTGTCTTCTCTCTCTTTGCTAGAAGAGAAATATGTCACAATTCAGTCATATACCAGCCAGGGGAAGGATGAAATTAGTTTCGACAAGGGAGTCACTGTGGAAGTCATTCAAAAGAACCTGGAAGGATGGTGGTACATAAGGTAATGTCATTTTGGCATGCGCAAGCCTTTTGGTTCCAACAAAATCCTATATATTTCTATCAAAGGTAGGACCCAAAAATGTTTCAAATATATAGAAATGTTAATAATGTTATAAAAGCCAGTTAAACTATTGTAATAATATTTGTAAAATAAGACTTGCAGTTTGTAGATTTCTTCAGCTAGGGAGAGAATAGAAGACATGTCTTACAAATCAGAGATAAAAATTGAAACCAAATATAGCTGTTCTTGCATTTAAGAAGGATGGGTGGTTAAGTGGATTTTTCCAATCAAATTTTCTGTGGATTTTCCTAAGTTTTTCCAACTAAAGCACTGAACCATCTTCCATAGGGTTGTAATATGATATTTTAAACTATGGGAAGCTTTTAGCACTCTGTGTTTGTGTGTATACATATATGTAATTTGCATTCAGCTGTAACAGAAGGTTTTTAAAGAGCAGCATGTTCTACTAGCATATGTGTTGAATTTTTGCAGAGAAGAGGTAATCTTGGCTGTAATTCAGACACTTTTCTTCTGGTAGCTTTAAATAATTAGTTCCATGCAGAAACCAAGGGTTTATTTTTAATGACATAGTTCTAAATACATTAAATGCCACGTAGGCATTTGCTGTGCTCAGCACAATGCACTCCTGTTTCTGGTTGATGCAATAAAGATCAAAAGCACAACAAAATATAAAAGTATTCAATGTTAACTGTAACAGCCAGGTTTACAAACTGATCCTAATACTTTTGCTTTCTTACTTTCTTTGAAATATCCCACAGAATTTAGCTGGGTCTTTTCCCAAAGAGTGATAAAGATTGCAGCCTTGCAGTTCAACTATTAAGTAAAATCATTGTAATTCAAATGAAAAAAAAGAATATACTTGTCAAGAAGCCTGAAAGCCTGGTTCCTGAATGGGTTGTCTTGAAAAATGCAAATTTATGCACCTAGTCACATTACAGAACTGTCTTCTGGATGACCCATTTCACCCCAGGATTCTGTGAATTATCTTCTGTTCATTTTAGTTTTCATAGTTTGTTATTTGCTTTTGAAGTTTGACCATCTTACAACACCTGTGGTTTGAATAATGGAAACATACTGAGATCTATATGTAATATAAACATAGTGATTGTAGTAACATCTTCATTACTAACTTTTCCATCAACAATAAAGGAAAGCTGATAGAGTGGGAGTAGACTCTTAACACTGTAAGCAGAGAATGGTTGGCCTTGTGTCAGTTCTGCATTCTTCTCTCTTTAAATCATTCTCTGGACTTTAATCCAAAGCCAAGGGTGCAGGAGCAGAGTGCACAGCATTTGTAGGAGGAAAAACAATGTCATCAACTCTCCCTGATTTTACTTTTGAATTCCCTTTTTGTTTTTAAAGATTGATTTTGTACTAGCACAAAATCTTAAACCTAACAGAGCTTTAAAGTATTCAGCATTTTCATTTAAGATGTCTACACTGTAGGAAATTCTAGATTATAATTAGATTTTTTATCCTCTCTGATCGGTCATATTGGAGTCTGAAAATAAGCCTTGTTTGTCTTTTTCTTATACCAACCTTGAAAATACACAGATAATGTCATTAGGTATCCTGCTCTCTTAGTTACTAATATACACGGAATGCTGAAAAACCCACATATCCTCTTCATACAAAATTAATTAAATTTCTAGCTAGCCCTATCCATGTTTTCTAGTACAGAAATTAGAAAACTTTTAAAGCAATCGAGTATCGAGTACCACTGTATATGTATTTGTATAGACATAACTGGTGGTTTGGGGGAGGGAAGGGAAGAGCTTGCTATTACGGGAAACTGTAAAAAAGGAGGATATTGTTCTTACAAAGAAGATGAAAAAGAAAACAATGTTTTTGCTGCTATTCTTCTATTTTATAAAAAACTCCCATGATCAAATGGTATCACGTTGTCAATTTTACATTCAGAATTTTTTCCAACACTAAATTGAGAGAAGAATGTGGAACAGGTCTAAATAAGCTATTCCCCAAATAACACCATGCAACAGCTTGTTGCATCTGGTATGATTTAAAAACCACTTCAGCTACCTTAATAGTACAACAAAAATATTTTGTTGTTCACACATAATTTCTGAGATTTAACTTGGCCTGTTATTGGTCTTTAAGATAGTTCACGGATGCCAAAACCTGAAGGGTTTCTTTGAAACTGAATGTCAAAACTGCTCATATTATTCAGCACTAGAAGATGTATACTTTGTGTCTTGGATTGTAACAATGCTGATAGGAAAAGCCTATCTAGAATGACTTAAAAGTAGAAGTTAGATCTCCATAGGATCTGTTTAATCCCACCTCTTCCCTTTGCATAATAAGTTAGCCAATTAAACAGATTTACCTTGAGGGCAATGGATATGACCAGCAGCTCAGACTTCATTGGTACCCAAATATTATAAATCTCATGAACAACTGTGAGGAATGTGCTTTGCTTTCCATTTTCTTTCAACTCGGTAATGAAAACTGATTCTTTAAATTATTCTGAGATACAAAATTCCTATTCAGATCTTCCTCTAGTGTCATAATTGAATTAATGAGAAGGAAATTTTTTGTAGACTAATCAAGGATAGGAATTTTTCAATTTAGATTAGTACTAAAAGTGGTACTAAAACAACAAATGCTAGATATGCCCAAATGTAAATACAAAGGATATAAATATTTCATTATATTCATTATATATTTCTTACATCAGGTAGAGTCAGAAATACTGAACTTCTTGCATGCTTAGTTCTCTTCTCTTGTAGCTCTATATTCCATCCAATCCTCTGCTATGCTTTCCTTCATCCACTAAACAGATAATTACAGAGATTCATAAAAGATCACATGAAATGTTGCTAGGAATAAAAAGGACACAGAAGAGGACATGCATTATGTTATCACAAGTAGCTTTGAAAACTGGTGATCAGTAGGAGAATTTCTGCTAATTAGGTCATTGCTATAAACAGTACTTGTTCGAAAGTTTTTTATAATGGTGAATTAGCTACCGCAGGAGCAAAAAAAAAAAAAGTACGTTCTATCTTAAACTCTTAACATTCTCCTCCTTAAATATAAATACAAAATGATGATTCTGGTCTGATTTTCACTTTTCTCCCCCTTCCACTCCCTTTCTGGTTTCCTTCCTTCTGGAATAATTCCAGTGTTCTGGAGCTGGAAAGCAGATGTTTTAAAAGGGAAAGAAAATGCTCAAACAGAGGCAATTTTGCTAATTCGCCTTTTTCCTTTAGAATCATGGTTGGAATATTGAGTTTTACCTTCAAAGAGCATTAAAAACATTAGTGGATTTTTGAATAGAGAATCCAAAAGCCCCCTTTTTCTGCCCTGCCTTCTTGCAGTCTTCTGATTGCATTTCATTTTCAGAACAAGAAAAGGATCCTCTTTTCTCTCATTTTTGCATTTCCATACTTGTTCAAAAAATTGGCTAATAGTTGTTGCATTAACATGTACTTAAGGCTTTCCATAAAAACTAGCTATGAAAACTAATGGCTAATTTGTCCAGTAAGATCACATGTTTAATAAAGGGGCTGGATTGTGTTCAGTGCCATTTATTGTTAAGCTATCAAGAAGGCTGATTTGGGGGATTAACTGCATGATACTGCTGTCCATGATTGCTTTACTGTCCATCATGTAGACTTGGAGGTTTTTAAATTGTGCAGAGACGAAGATATGAAACTTTCAAGTTTCGGGTTTCTAGATTGGATCTTCCTGTTTGGTTTTGACACAGCTAGAGTGCTTTGATCCTAACAAGAATTCTGTTGCCTAAGGGGCCACCAGAAGAACACTTACACAGCCATTTCCTGAGGTGACATGGAAGGAGCAACAGGCTGCTTTTTAGTGCATAGTCGGGGAATATTGCGACTGCATAAGTTCTTTGTCAAATGTGCTAGTTCTGGGTATGATGGCGTAGGCCAGGGGTCTGCAATCTTGACCACTTTAAGACTGGTGGACTTCAGCTCCCAGAATTCCTCAGCTAGCTATGTATTTATTCCTAAATCCTATTCTGACTTGCTTAACTTTTTGCAGATCTCAGTTTCTAATCTTTCAGCTGAAATGAGAAGATTCTTGAAAACTTCAAAAGAAAAACACAGCTGCTTCATTGAATCTGTGTGACTGATTCATTTGTCCGGTATATATACACTGACAACATAAGATTTGTTTAAAATCAAACTGATTCTGTTAATAGTCATTGCATGAAAGAGAGCAGTTTTGTTTTCTTTTGGAATTCAGGAAGTAAGAGGAGACTTTCCATTAGCCTGGCACATTGTTTTCATTGTTTTCTTTCACAGATTTGAGCAAGAAAATATAAGTGTTTTTAGATAAAATCACAAAATAGTTCCTGCTGTCTCCCATGAACAACTCTGCATTTCTCAAATTAGTTGTCTCTCAGCCTTAGTCCTATAAGCTTCACACCAGGGCCTGTGGTTTTTACAGGGAGTTCTCTCTTTTTGTCCTTGGGGTTGTGAAAAGGCTGCTTATTGAGTTGTTTATTCTCATCTGTAGAGTCCTTGGTGCTCCTCTGAGCTTGGTTGTTTTCTTGTAGACATTTCATTCTTAGACTAGGTAACATCTTCAGTGCTAGAAGGGAGTGAAAATTGCTTTCTATTTATGTACAGTAGCTTGCCCTGTCAGTATTAGTGGAAATGGTGTCTTCTTCTTGGTAGTTCCTTGATTAGACCTTTGTTTACTTCTTGATTGTTTGAATTGGTAGTTCAGTGATTAGAGTTTTGTTTATTGTTTGTTTGGTGTTAATCCTGATATTAATCTCTGCTTATATGGAGTGTTAATTGCTGGCAAGGGGGTATTCTGATCTTTTTCTTTTCTTTTACCTTTTTATGGTTTCTTTTGAATGGTGTATAAATATTCTTTATCTGATGGCTGAGTGCCAAGCTTCTAGGAATTCCCTATCATCTTTAACTTGGTCTACCATGCTCAATTAACTATGGTTAAATTTGCCCATGTGCTGTGAAATTAAGGAGCTTTTTTTTAATCATGTCTTCTGAAGCTAGTTGATGTTCATGATTCTTCAAGACTCTTATCTTCCAGAGTGTGAATAATGTTGCTCAGTTGGCCAGGAGGCACTGACAAACTGAACATGCTTTTTAATAATTGACTAATATCTTCTGAAATAGTTTCTTTTTTCTTTTTTTGTCCTTTTTTTTAGATTTCTGTGTTTGATAAACTTGAAACTGTGAGATTAGCTTCTGAACTAAATATTTCTGGGGCTGGACTGTCTAGTTAGCTTTGATTCAAATTAAGTCCTTCTTTTATATTGATTTAAAAATATGCTAGAAATAAAAACTAATATATGTTTTTTCCTCCCGGTATTTCAAAGTGGGATTCTTGAAGAACATTTACTTAAGAATTAAATTTAATTAAAATTACTAATATTTTATTTTGAGTAAGCAGTCATTCTCAAGATCTGCTTCTCTACTCTGGTAGTCTTTTATTATGTCGTTCTCGACTTACAATAATTTGTTTTGTGTCCGTTCAAAGTTACAATAGCACTGAAAAATGTGGCTTATGACCATTTTTCATAGTTATGACCTTTGCAGCATCCCCATGATTATATGATCAGAATTCAGATGCTTGGCAACTGGTTCATATTTATGACCTTTCCTGTGTCCCAGAGTCATATGATCCCCTTCTGTGAATTTCTGACAAGCAATGGGGAAGCCAGATTCACTTAACAACCAAGTTACTAACTTATAAACCGCAGTGATTCATTAACAACTGTGGCAAGAAAAGTATTAAATGGGGTAAGGCTCACTTAACAAATGTCTCACTTAATAACAGAAATTTTGGGCTCAGTTGTGATCGTAAGTCGAGGACTACCTGTACTTCTGATAGATAGTTCCTAACACTTTCTATCCTAACACAGTTCAAGGGTATTTGCACCTCTTCTGACTTTCTTCCTTAATTATTATTTGTGGTTAAAAAAAATAGCCGTTTCTTTGAAAATCATGGAATGATTGCAAATAAAAGATAATGTTACAAATAAAGCAATTCAAATGCATTTGAAATTTGGTATAGTTATCACAGTGATGGCGATAGTGAAATACTGGACTAGACTTAAAAAGATCCAGACTTTGAGATCCAGATCTCACTTTGGCCCATTCCTCTTTCTGAGCCCACTCGGCTTCACGGGATGGCTGTGGTAAAGATAAGGTGAAAGATAACGTCTTAGCAGCCCCCTTAAAGTTTTGGAGGAGAAGCATGATAGAGATGTGACAAAGAAATATCGTTTATAGAAATGTTCCTAATCATCAAACTAGAACAATATAAGAACACAATTAGAGGAAACCAGGTTAGATTATTTAATAGTTTTATTATTTTTAAACATTTCAGTCATCTTTCTAAAATACAGATAGTCCTTGACTTATAACCATAATTGAGCCCCAAATTTCTGTTGCTAATTAAGACATTTCTTAAGTAAGTTTTACCTCATTTTATGACCTTTCTTGCCACAGTTGTTAAGTTCATAGCACAGTTGTTAATCACTGCAGTTGTTAAGTTCATAACACAGTTTAGTAAATCTGGCTTACCGATTGACCTTGTGTATCAGAAGATAGCATAAAGTGATCACGTGACCCCAGGACACTGCAACTGCAGTGGTGGGACTCAAATATGTGAACAGCCGGTTCTCTGTGTGGATGCCGCTTCTGGTAGTCCATTCTGGGCCTGGGCAACAAAAAATTAGCTATCGGTTCTGCCGAAGTGGTGCGAACTGGCTGAATCCCACCACTGTGCAACTGTCATAAATATGAGCCAGTTGCTAAGGATCTGAATTCTGATCACGTAACTAGGGTGATGCTGCAATGGTTATAAATGTGAAAAACAGTCATAAGTCACTTTTTGCTGTTGTAACTTCAAACAGTGACTAAACAACTGTTGTAAGTTGAGGGCTATCTGTAATGCTAACTCAATTTCTGCATCACATTTTGTAATTATGGTATAAGCAGCTAAACTGCAATCACTATTTGTATTTTCAGATATTTAGACAAAGAAGGCTGGGCCCCAGCATCATATCTGAAGAAAGCAAAGGATGAGCTTCCCTCTCGGAAAAAGAATCTTACAGGACCAGTGGAAATTATAGGAAACATCATGGAGATCAGCAACTTGCTGAACAAGAAATCTTCCAGTGACAAGGAAACTCAGTCAGAAATTGAAACCATAGAATCGCATGTCACCAAGAAAGAAATAAGTTTGCCCATCTTGTGCAATGACTCCAATGGCAATTTCATGATGACCCAAGACAAGCAGATTTCAAAGCAGGTGCAGGGGTCTCCTGCCATAGCACGGATTGCCCCACAAAGAGCTCTAATAAGTAAGACCATGATGATCTTCTAACTTTCCCTCTCCCAAAGCTTATCACTTAGAAACACAGATAAAATGGGACTGTAAATTGAGAAAATGGTGGCTTGGAAGAGTTAGAAGGCTTATGATTTAAACATTTTGCTGCCTCTTGAACACATCTGTCCATTCTGATATTTCTCAGTTGTTAATTTTTCCAAATTTAATTTTATTTCATTTCTTTATGAGTTTAAAATCTTATAAACTGTTATACAAAAATGAGTTAGTTTGGGCAATACTGCTCCTTTGCATGCAATTATTTTTTAGCATGTGTACGATTATATATACTTTATATGGGGATCTGCATCCCAATTTATATGAAGCTGAGATATGCATATTGTTCTGCATATGAATGTGCAATTACTCAGAAGTGAGCCCCATTTAATTCTGTGATAAATTAATGTAAGATTGTAGTTTTAATCTTACAACTCTTCAATAATGTTCTCTTCTATCATTCCTTGGAACATGCTGTAGCTACAATCCAAATTCCAAAATTCTTAACATTCAGATAGACAGTAATACGTTATACACTGTGACTGGCAATAGTGTGGGGTATTGATTACCTTCCTGAACTGTTTTTCCTATGTTGCTGTGTGGATTAAACTGCCATTAGTTGTTCATTGTTGCCCATTCTGTGCTTGTTTTGTCCCTAGAAAGACTGTGTACACTTGAATTTGAGTAGTTTTAAAATTGTTGGTTACTCATGTATAACATGCTCCCTCTCTCTCTTTCTTCTACACACATACCCTCACGCATGTACATACAAACACATACACAACACAGAAATATTAGTTATTTTAGGGTAAAGTGATATATTGCTAAGAAACTGCCTAAACTGTGGACTGTAGGTGGCCATTCTACTGTCTATCTCAGCATTGATCCTATGTCTAATATCTCCAAGATCTATGATAGACTGCAGGGTTTGAGTATATAAAAGTAATTACCGTAGTTTCTTGAAAAGGCCCATGATGCCCCCTTCTGATCAGCCCGCATACTGCTTCTTAATATTAAATTTTCTAGCCTGTTTCCATGCAAGGTATATAAGCACAAAGCACATAGATTTGTCATATAATCAATTCAGTGAATCTAATCCTTGAATAAATGAACAGAATGGACATAATAGGTAGCACCATTCCTTATAAAACTTACCTAGAAAAGTAATCTATAAATCTATAGTGAAAAAAGATAGAACTTTTTCATCTGCCAGAACCACTGATTTTTGCACATCTTTCCACAGTGTGAAATAATCTGCACATTTGTGTATACATACACACACACACACACACACACACACACACACACACACAGAGGTCAGCAATAATCCATATGATTTTATCTCCACCTAACCCTCTTAATCCTAAAACAACTACTGTATTGGAAACAACTTGAAACAGAGCTGAAATCCATATTAGTAATCTTGAAACTATTTGTATGTTGAAAGGACTGTCTGGTAGTGTATCTGGTAGTGATTCCCTTCTTGTTAAAGAACCTGACCATGGTTATTCTTCTCTGATAATAAGCCTCTTAAATTAAAGTAATATGTTACATATAGATTTATTTTTTGACATTTCCCTTGGTATAAAATATAGGAGTTAATTTGATAACTTAAAATAGTGAAATCATAATTGCTTTACAAATTTGAAATAATGATACTGGCATGTTGATTCAAGCTTAAATATAAGGATTGCCTGTTACTACTTGAACATGTAAGAATATTAGAAATATTGAAAAAGCGCATTTTCCAACTCTAGAAGTCCAAGTAAAACAGTACAAGAAATATATTATTATGGTCTGTTCTGGAATGTCCTCTAGAGCAGATTCTTTTTATCTGCTCAGGTTTTTTAAATACTGTGGCTATTAGAATATTTTTGATTGAAAAAAAAAAACTTCTGGACTTAAGAGTTAATAAACATAAATCACTTTTTACCCTTTTACTCATAATTTTACTGACAATAATTTGGAAATATTCCTTCTTTGTGAAGGTTCTCCAAATCTGCGTATGAAACCTCCTCCGAGAAGAGAATCTAGTTTGGTGAGTAGTGATTTTGTTTTTATATTTAAGTCACTAAATATTTAGTATTACACAAACACATTGCTTAATATTGAGAGCTTAAGTACAGGAAACCAGCCCTTGGTTTCCCACTGAGCAATTAGGAAAACAAGTGGGTAGGTTATTTTTTTTTTATCATGAGGAAAAATATTATGACCTGGGTAACTAAATTCATCCATGATGGTGGTTAAATAGATCCCTATAAAGTAATATATTGCTAATGTCTTTTTATGAGGTGTATGAGAACATAAGCTTATTAGAGTGTTAGTCAACCTTGTTTTTAATCTTTCAGCCAGAAATGCTGGAGTAAAGCTCCAGTTTCATAACCATAAATTTTGTGGTATGCAGATTTTACTGTGTGTTCTTTATTCAAAAGTATGGCAATTTAGTATATATCAGAGTTAAGAGAATTTAAGATAGCCTTTCCCAATACAGTGCTCTTCAGTGATTTGTATACAACTACCAACATTTCTAATTCTAATCAGTAGGACTTTTAGATGGGTCTAGGACAACTCGCTCCGGCCCACCTGCCGCGAGACAACTTGCCATGAGACAATTCAACACAGGATGAACTCAAGAGAGGGACAAGTTAATTGCAGGGTGCTTTGTCTTGCTTTAGGTTTGAACCTTTTCAGGTTAGAAGTCCCAAGGCTGGGGTCAGCTGCAGCTCTACTTGTCTCTCTCTTGAGTTATCCCTCATTGAATTGTCCTGTGGCAAGTTGTCCCACAGCGAGTCGACTGCAGAGAGACAGCCAGGGTGAGTCAGCCAGGATGAGTTGACCATGGTGAGTTGTCAAATTCTGGCTTTGATTTGATGTGCCACTACTGATGTCACTTTGATTTTCTTGCTTAGGGAGTTTCAGCAGCCACCATTTATATTCATTTGTCTCTTGCAAGTAAATTTGTAATAATTTTATTTTAATGTGTTTGAGCAATGTGGTGAAACTAGGGTAGCATACAACATAAGACTGACAATTTTGCTGGCATGGCGAGTTTCTTAGCTGTTTCGGAGCTGTTGGTGAGACCGTTAAAAGTCGTTGGTGCTGTTTGAAATTGTTCTGCTGGCAGCAAGATCTGACTGCTGGCCCAGCGACGGATTCTATTGCAAATAAGGGCTGTTTCCAAAGGAGGCAGAGGAGGAGAGGTCCTGGGGCTTATGGAGCGAAGGAACTGGATGAGGCTGTCAGCAGGCCCAGAGGATGGGAGAGAGGCTTTTGGAGGAGTTGGTGGCAGCGGCAGCGTTCTCCAGGAGCGAAAAGGAGTGAGGCCTCTTTAAGGAAAAGGTGGAAGAGACAAGATCAGAAAAAGAAAAGGAGGCGAGGTTGTCGTGCAGGAATACAAACTAATTTGAGGGATAATCCACATGGAGCTCCATTTCCATCTGTCCTGTTTGCATCGTTCGCTCCCTAGAGACTCAAATGGAAGATCTGTAACTTGAGCTGACCACGAACAAGGAGTGTATATCGGAGCTGGTGACCCTTTGAGAATTGTATGCAATGAAATTTCATTTTGGTGTATGCCGATTGGTGTACTTTCAAAATGACAATAAAGTTGTTGTTGTTGTTGTTGTTGTTGTTATTATTATTATTATTATTATTATTATTATTATTATTATTATTATTATATGCCCTCTTCCCTTGTTCCCTGACATTTTTAATTAATCTCTGTGTCACTGTTTATTGCCACAGGGCTTTCAACTACCTAAACCTCCTGAGCCACCTTCAGTGGAAGTTGAATATTATACTATTGCAGAGTTCCAGTCTTGCATTGCTGATGGAATAAGCTTTCATGGGGGACAAAAAGCAGAGGTAAGAGTAAAATGGAAAATGAGTCAGTAATGGATAGTTGTCATATAGTGAGCAAAAATCTAAGAGAAGCTTGGATAAAAAAATAAATGTATTAGTGTTTTGTATCCATAATTAATTTATGATTTAATCCTTCTCTAGGTTATTGACAAGAATTCTGGGGGCTGGTGGTATGTCCAGATTGGAGAAAAAGAAGGATGGGCTCCAGCATCATATATTGATAAAAGGAAGAAACCCAATTTAAATAGGCGAACAAGCACTCTGACCAGGCCCAAAGTTCCTCCCCCTGCTCCTCCTAATAAAGTAAAGGATTCTGAAGAAGTAACAGCTAGTAGTACCACAGCTTCAGGAGATGGCCAAGATTCCCCACACAAGCAGATGTATGAGGAACCAGAGTATGATGTGCCTGCCTTTGGTCATGACTCAGAATCTGAGCTGAGCCAAGGAGAAGATGGTAACTCAGACAGAAGCTCATTCCACCTTCCAAAACCTTCCCCTGGATCATCCCTCCAAAAAGCAAAATTTCGAGTTGGAGAATCTTCTGATGATGTGACTCATGAAGAGGAAATAATCTATGAAAATGAAGGTTTTAGACCTTACGTAGAAGATGCACTGTCAAACAGAGAATCTAGTGGAGATTCTGATTCTCGAAGTTCCTCACTGTCTTTGATTCAAAGAAATTCTCCACGTTCAATTTCTCCTAAATCCTCCCTTCTGAAGCCCAAAAGTATTCAAACAAACTTTGGGAAGTCTCATTACAGTCATAATGAGGAGACAAAGCCAAGATCAGCCTCAGATGCTGGCCTAAGTAGCATACCCAAATCAAGCACAAAAAGGGATACTGGAGAGTTCATGTCTAGCAGAGGAAAACCAACGGTGAGGCCAAAACCATTTCTGAACAAAGCAGATTCTCAAAGTCAAGAAATGATGAATATCAGTACTTTACGTCATCATCTGAGACCAACTGGGCAACTCAGAGGTGGACTTAAAGGTTCAAGAAGTGAGGAATCTGAAAGTCCACCTCAGACAACTTCTGGAAACTCTGAAGAGTCTTTCAGAAGAAATTCTGTAGAATTCATTACATCTTCTTCCCATACCTTATTTTATGCCAGCCAGCTAGCCAAAACAGAGAATGAAAGTAACCCATCAAAATGTCTGTATATAACCACTGATTCTTATCAAAAAGTTCAAGATTCTGAAATCAGTTTCCCTGCTGGAATAGAAGTGGAAGTATTGGAAAAGCAATCAAGTGGATGGTGGTATTTGAAATATGGAGAAATAGAAGGGTGGGCTCCTTCTCATTATCTGATGTCTTTTGATAACCAACAACAAGAAAACACCTCCACTGGAGAAGATACCATGTCCAATATATCACAAGCAAGAAACAGAAGAAATGAAAGCAAATCCAATAGTTTGGAGAAAATAGAGAAGAAGGTCCAGGCACTGAATACTATCAACCAGAACAAAAGAACAACGCCTCCTATTCCTAATAAGCCACCTGGTGGCTTCTCCAAAACATCTGGGCCTGTCAAATTGCGAAATGGAGTTAGACAGCTAGCAGTGAGACCACAGTCAGTGTTTGTTTCTCCACCCCCCAAGGATAATAATCTGCCTTGTTCCCTGCGTAGGAATGAGTCTCTTTCTGCCACAGATCATTTGAGGACTGTACGTCGGAATTCATCTTTCAGTGCTGCCCAATCCCAAATGAATGAGTCTAAAGTAAAACATGCTGGTCGACTGGTGTCTGAAGAGTCAGATAATGTCTCCTACATACCAACTGACCGCAATGGAATTCCAGTGTCCACTGTCAGGCCCAAGCCCATTGAAAAATCTCAGTTCATTCATAATAACCTTAAGGATATTTATATCTCCATTGCAGATTATGAGGGAGATGAAGAAACTGCTGGATTTCAAGAAGGTGTCTGCATGGAGGTATTGGAAAAGAACCCAAATGGCTGGTGGTACTGCCAGATCATGGAAAATGGGAAACCATTTAAAGGCTGGGTGCCCTCAAATTATTTGGAAAAAAAGAAATAGTATTGCAATGTATTTAAATTCACTAATTTATACTTCCCTTTGGTGTACATTTGGAAGATGAGAAAAGATACAAAGATGTATTTCCTTTACCTTATTGTGCATTCACAAGACAGTTCAGTTTTCCTTCTTTCCCAGAAAGTCTGCCATCTTTTAGGATGTTTTGAAGGAATGGTCTCATTCTGCAAGTACCAAGAAAATACAGCTGGAATTAATGCCCTTTTATTTTATTCCCCCAGACACACACACACACAAAGATGTGCATCAGGATACATTACCCTATTTCCTGATTTTAATACTCAGAAACCAAATGTGTGCCTTTCCATTCTAGTTTGGAATTATGGGTTTACTTGATTGGGAGTTTGATGCCAAACCCAAATGTGTTTTATAAAAACTCTGCTTGTTCATTTCTTCCATGTGATGGGGCCATAAATAGTATTTGGTTGATTCCCCTCTTCACTCAAGATGTATGGGGAACAGAGCAAGTGGAGAAAATTTTCAAGGAACCATCACTTGGCTATTGCATTTGGATCTCTAGATTGAAGATCTGAGAAGGATTTTTTTTTCATTTCTGGTATTGGATTTGATCACATATCGTTCTGTTTCTCCAATACTATCCACCCTGTTTTTTTCTTCTTGTATTCCTTACTTATCACCTGGGTCAGGAATGAGGAGGAGTATTTTTAAAAAAGTTATGTGGACTTTGAAGTGTAATCCAATTTTATGTGGTTTCCTAATGTTTGTAAACATGCTAAAACTATGAGTTGCACACAATCTCTTCTGCACACTACTTTCAACTTTAATGTTTTCTTTTGTGGCCTTCTGAATAATATGTACTGCGATTATTTTGAGAGTACTTGCCAGACAACTCAGTTATTCAGAGTTCCAGATATCAACTAAAAACTAATCAAGTCTTATCCAAATCTAAAGAAGATGAGAAGAAGAAGGCACGTAGTACGACCTGCTTCTCTTTTTGTTGGGTTATGCCCTATTACGGCTTGGCTAGCTTTCCAAGGGAGGGGAATGCCTTTCTCAAATATCTGCTTCTTCTCCTCTTCTCAGGCCTACCTTTTGGCTGTGCAGAGTTCCACTGGGTTGCATCTGCCCTGTTCCACCAGGGCATTGGTGTTGCTATGCTGATCTTTATCCCAAACCCTGCAGGACTCCCTACTCTTGTAGTCCTGGAGAAAGGCATGAAGGAAGGTGCATAGTTCCATCAGAGAAACCATGCAGATGCTGCTTCTCCTCTCACCGTGCTACTGTCAGAAACAATTGTGTGGGTTCTATGTGTTCTGTGTGTGACTCCTCAGAGAACAGTTCAAACAAATAGAGCTTTCCTCAACAGATCATGGCAATTAGCATTACCATCACAAATAGAAAAATAAAAATGGTGGAGCTGAGCTGACTATGCGTGCCGTTTTGAAAAAAACAAACAAAATTTACTTCCACACAATTGGCCATTGTCTTGCTTCCTTTGTTGTGAATGGAAGGGTTTGGCATGTTTACATTTGTATCACCAATGTGTATGAACAGACAAGAATATGAAAATCACTGCATGCAAGGAGGCAGTTGCCCAATCCAGCACGCTGTATGTTTGTGGAAAGTTATTTATTTTCTTGAATACTTTACTGAGAAGATCGTGGGATATCCAGAATTAGTTTGATGTTGCAATAAAAGGAAGTGTCAAAATAGGTGCTATGTGTGCACATCTGAATGTTGATGGTTCATCAAGTTTCTCTTCGTTTCATGTCCAATCAATGCTGATTCTTACCTGGCAGAGAAGCATTTATATTTTCAAAGTCAGAATGGGAATGAGCAGAAGCCATGGATGTTACCAACTGCATACTTGGTTTTAATTTATATATGAAGAGGAAGGGAGAGATTTTTATTAGTAAATAGCAGTCTTCTGAAAAAGTTTTTTTAAAGAACAACTACAAATTATTTTGTTCTTCTCACTTCTTCTCAGTTTCTAATGAGAGATATTGTCAAAGGGTGATTGAACAGAGCACCATTAGACTGGGAATGTTACAAAGTAGGAATTCTGTACTCACATATCCTCTTTTGCCTTTTTATTTATGATTTCAGATGCTTTTTTTTTAAAAATGAGATTTTTGTGGAAAAGCATAAAGATTAAAACCACTCGGGTTTGTGCAAAGGCTTTGGGTACAAAGTGTGTTTATATTTTGATGCATCTTCATTTACTAGCCTTGCAGTGAACTTTGTAATTGGTAAACAACAGCAACAACACCAGAAGGCCTTTATTTAAACAATATGGAAATCAGACAACAAGTTTATTGTCACTTTGAAGCCCAATATTTTACATGGAAAATGAAGAAAAAGAGTTGGGGATTTTAGGGAGAAAATGTTAAGTAATCTGGTTATCTCCAGCAACAGACTTACATTCTACCAGTGGAAGATGAAAGAGTCAAGATTTTTAATGAGGTCCAACTTATTTTTTTTTGTGAACAAATAAAAATTAAGTATATTTTGAGATGTTTTAGCTTTCTGAAAATTACATAATTATCAATTGATTCTTGCCTCTTATATATTTTTCGTTGTGTGTTACATATATGACATTACAAAAATAACTTGAGGGATTGATTTCCATGCTTTGTGTGATTAATGCCTTTCAGGCTGATCTATTACAGTGTATCAGCACTGCTGTCCATGCTTCTACAGTGAAATAGCATGGAAGAAGGGGCCTGGTGATGAAGAGAAACCCCACAGGCCTCTGTAACATCAATAATAAATTCATTTGGGGAAGACAGGTTTCTAAACCACAGTGCATTTGAAAATGGTGTGGGTTTGCCCAAAGCTCCTTTCCATGAGGCTTTACATCTCAAATGTTTCCTCATATTTATGTTTTGTTAAAAATTGAGCAGCAATTTAAGAGACTGCCAAAGCTGTTTGAGTTTAAAATAGTATTATTTTCTTCTGCTGGACAGTATTAAGTAGAGCAAAATCATCAAGTAATCTGCTAGATTGCAGTATTAATGTTAGTGATTTAGCAACACATATTAATATGATTAAAAAAAACAATAATGATGACGAAGTGGTTCATTATTTTTGAATTAATGCACTTTAACCATTTTAAACCAAAATGCAGGAAAATCAAGTGCATTGTTTAAAGATGCAGTATAAATTGTCATTTTAAGAACATCTATTTATTAAAATAATTTATGATTATTTAAAATTTGTACTATACAGTTTTGTTCCAAAGATGCCATCATCTCTTGGGAAAGCTAAAAGTGCAGCTCCCAAAAATCCTGCACAGAGCCATCAAGACTCTTCAAATACAGTAGATTCAGGTAGCCAGAGTCAAATTTTTGCCTGAGAAGGGATCAGTATTTCTTGCTGTACAGAAGCAAACTGGTTTGTAATATTCTTAAGCATCTAAGTATTAAGGAGTTACGTGTACAGAATTGAACCAAAATGGATCGAGAGATTTTGAAATTATCTTTTACAGATTCCCTAAAAGGGTTAACCATTTCCAGCCACATTTGGGATGAGTGGTATATCTCTTTCTCTATAGTGTTACCGAGCCTTCAGGCAGTCCTGTTGCTGCATCTGCAGGTTTTTGGGCCAAGAAAATCACTGAGTTCATTTTGAGTCTAAAATGCTGCTGCAAATTCTTAAGAAAAAAAAATTGTCTTGCATAAATATGATTTGCCCATTCTTTCAGTAAGTATGAATAGCTTTCCATATTTTTTTCTGTGTTATAGCTGCATTTTTTTATGCAACAGTAATATTGAACTGGCACATGCAAGGACTGGTTTCTTAAAATGTCTCTTTAGAACAGTTATCAGTCAATAAATCAGTTTGCTTATCAATTTGCATTTTATGCATTATAAAAGTGAGCCTTGATTGTCCTATAAAACTGCCCCAATAATATAAAAAAATTACATTAATAAAGTTGGATAGGTAGTTGTCTGAGCTAAACTCGTTTATCATTTTTTGTTTTAAATATTTATGTATGTCACATCTCTAGAAGCTTTATGTAGGGGAACTTGTAGCTGGTTTTATGGTATATGGAAGTAATATCTAGGTTCAAATACAGGGAGAAGGATAAATAAAGGGCACTATCAAGCACCTTCTTAATTTAGTCAGTTTCACTGTTTCCCACATGTAATCTATAACTTGCCCTTGTAAATATTAGATATGTGTTTAGGGATTGGAGAATTCAAATTTTAGCGCTTGGCCAGTGCATGAAGTAATATATTGAAATCCCACTCAAAACGGCTGTAGCTTTCCCCATCAAAATATTATCTACTAATTCTAAAATTATTTTGATCATAAACCTGATGATTTTTTTTAAAAAAAAAACTATATAGTACTTTCAAATAATCTAGATCTCAATTTTTAAATATTCTGGGGGCTAATTGAATATTAAGCCAAAGATTGCACTCTTAGAAAGAGAGGAGTGGCTTCTAGTCATTTCCTGGTTCTTTAAATTGCCTTGCTTTTCAAAAGTAATGCATAAAACAAGAACAACTCAAAATGCAGGTTGATATATTGACAAAATCCAAACAATGAAAACTTTTTTTCTGCTGTATACTGCAACTTTAATAATAATGAGCACTTCTGAATTTGTTATTGCGGATTTATATAATGCCTGAAAAACTATTCTTGCTTTTTTTTCTTAATTTCTACATTTTAGTGAGTTAAGTTTAAAGTTTATTCCTTTTTAAGTACATATATTTTAGTACCCCGAGTAATATAATTAGGATTGTAATGAGTTCCCTCACAAGATGTGGTAGTAAGCTTGGTTTACCACATTTGTTTTTTTTTTTACAAATCTGAAATGTTTCTATTTTTCTAAATCATTCAGCAGGGGAATAGAGATATAGATTGACAAAAATCAATCTAAGTTTCCATTGGGTTCATGAAATTAGTTTCACAGCTCTTTGACTTTCTAGAGCAGTGTTTTAGAAAATGGACAACATTAAGACCTGTGTGTGGATTTCAACACCCAGAATTCCTGTGCATTTATACTGCATTAGCAACTATATTTGTTCCAATGAACTGGTTCCAAAGTCTTCCTTTCAGAAACAACACTGAACATTTTGACGATGGCATTATAAAATTGTGCTTTTTAGTACTACTTTTGATTATTAGAATAGCTTATTTTATTTTAAAGTTATACTTATTGCTTCTCTCCATTTATAAAAAATTGTTACTGCTTTCTGTCATTTATGAAAAAATGGAAGGGAAACTGATAAAGAATTATTATTACTTGCATTTACTAGCATTACTATATCAATGGTAATATTTAAGTTTAGTTCATTTTGCATAATTTGTTTATTATTTTTCTTCAATTATTGCTATATTATATTCAATATTTGCATTCTCAGTGGAGTATCCAAATAGAGGATCAGTGCAATATTGAAAGAGCAAAAACAGGTTCCTCATCCAGGACTTGAAGTGGATGCACAGTGTGATTTTAACCATCTGTCATTTTTGATCATGCACTCTTAAGGAAAAAAACATGAGAATTGAGGAAAGTTGAACAACAGCAGAAGTAGGCAGGAAGTGGAGGAAGAAAACTTTTGGGAAAAAATGGCTATGGAACTTTGAAATTTGCAGCAGAAGTTTATCACATTCAGATAGAAGTATGACATCTTGATTCATAGGCTGTTCAGCTGTAATTTTTCTTTGCAATGTTCAGTATTTTTCCATGTTTTTTTGTAACTGTATGCACTCTTTTTAACTTAAGCAGAAATTCCAAATTCTTATCTGATTTACATTTCTGTCAGAGGAATTTTCTCCTGAATTGATATGTAGCTGCTGTTTATCATGCTATAGAAGCATGACATAGATCCTGGAGCCTGGAACAGAAGTTAGCATGCTGAAGGCATGTTGACAAAGGGCACTTAATCTTAAGTCTGCATGAAGCACAAGTAAATGCTTGAAATAGAGTGTGTCTATATTGTATGGTATCTTAATACTCAGTCTCTTCCAGAATTAGACTGTTTAAAAAGGGAAACTTCTATGAAGTTGCAGCTTGAACTCTCCTTTCTTAAAAAAAAAGAAAAGATTCAGAACTTTATTAGCCCATGGTTGTTACAATCATCACTAAAGTAGCAAATAAATAAAGTGGCTGGATAAAAACTATTTCCAGCTTCATTGTAACTGAAAGTAAAATGCCTATGTTCATGTGCTTGATATTAACACTTGATTTTATATAGAAATTATCTTAGCCATTTACCTAATTCATCACACCGGACTGAGTAAAATGTCAAATATGCATGCAGAGCCTGAATTGTAAGTCAACTTTTCCAGAAGCGACAGTTTTCAGAAATTGGGACATTTCTATACTCATGAAATTAGAAAATCAAACGGATCTGGGAATTTCACTGCTCATTGAATTTTTTTCCCCAAAGAATGTCCTCTTCCCATTTAAAAATCACTCTTTTATAGATAAATAATTTTATTGAAGTTTTTAATAAAACATGCTTTTCTTAAATACATTTCTATAAACAGCACAAGCTTTTTTAAGCAAATAGGAATGAGCAAAAAATAGACTTATAAGTTAGCCACTTCGTATCACATCTTATTTTAACATGGAAATGCGTAGCTTAACAAAATACCCTCTCTGGAATTGCTTTTCTAAATTAGGGAAGTGATAGCAAGGATGCCTTTCTTCATGCTATCAGTGTGTTTCTCAAAGGAACATTACTTTCTTGTTTTTTATATTCCCATTGATTTCTTGAGTGCAACGGACTCCAGTTAGATTTGGTTTTAGAATATTCCAGTTAACAGTCTATTTTTTAGTTTGATAAAATTCAGACTCTGCACATGCAAAGAAAATTTGTGACTTTAACAATACATTAAATATCAACCAGAGTTTGCTGCTAAATAGTCAAAATCAGATCTCAGAAAAATCAGCCGTATATTTTATGGCTAAATCAGGGGTACTTTACCTAATCTTAGGCCTTTAACAGGTACAAATTGGTAGAGCATAAGTTTCTTTGTAAATATTTTTTTCAGGAGGATTGTGAGAAAGTGGTCTTTAAGCTTTTAGTACATGTGTACAGATTAATGGGAAGTACATGAAAAATGTATCAGGTTCCAAAATGGCCACATAAACTTGTGAGATTATTGTTGGTGTCTCAGTTCATCTATTTAGTTTAATTGTAAACTCTAAATCAAGGACTTGGGAATCAAATGACCTTTTTCAAGTATCCTTGGAAGTCCATGAATTTGCCCAGTTCCTTTAATTGATCTTCCTCAATCTCCACTTGTTTTTTAGAACATCAGTTTGGAAAACCCACAGTTTTTGTGAGGGGTGTGTATAAACTGTGTTAAGTAAAGTAATAGGAGAACAGTTTCACTGAATGCAGATCCTCGCTCTGGGGATAGAACAGCCCAATCTGATTTGACTCAAATCCCTGTTTTCTGGGTGATAAAATCAGGGACAGAAGCAAATACATCTGTGCCTTTAAATTTGCCTGATGGGCTAGCCCCGTGAAGTGTTTAAATTGTTTGCAGAGTGCACTTTTTCAGGAAAAAATGAACAGAAAGTTTCACACTGTTGAGGGTGTTTTTGTATGTATTTCAAATCCAGCACAACAGCCACTATTGTCCTGTGTTGAGACTCCTGTTTATTATGACACCAAAATGGAGGATAGATGTATTCTTTAATGGTCAGAAGTAACTGGATTGTGACTTGAGGAAAAGCTGATTGGATTAAATAAAAAAATGATCCAAAAATAAGTTAATATGCATATATATGTCATTCTCTCCCACCCCCCAACTTTAGATTCATGAGTTCCTTTTCTGTGTATTTGTGTGCTACTTTATGTTAGGCTGTTTTTTCTCCATAGAGGTACTCCTCAACTTATGAACACAATTGCACCCAAAATTTCCGTTAAGTGAGTTTCTCCCATTTTAAGACCTTTCTTGCCATAATTGTTAAGTGAATCGCTGCAGTTGTTAAGTTAGTAACATGGTTATTAAGTAAATCTGGCTTCCCCGTTAACTTTGCTTGTCAAAAGGTGATCACATGACCCTGACACACTGCAGGTGTCATAAATACATGCCAGCTGCCAATCATCCAAATTTTAATCACATGACTACAGGGATGCTGCAACCGTCATCAGTGAAAGAGGTCACTTCAGTGAGGTAACTTTGGTCATTAAATGAATGGTTGTAAGTCAAGGACTAACTTGTCAAATGTGATATTTCTATATTGTGGTGTGATAAATTAGTAAATGAATGCCTATAATTGAAAGAAGTAATGTCTTTTACATTTGGAGGAAAAAAATGAAATGATTTGAAAATGGCATGCGTATAACCTTAGGGTTTAGACTAAGGGACAATGCTTTGTTCAAAAGAAGTGAATAATTAGAAATGAAAGATAAAACCAGTTATTGCCCTCACATTTCATAGCATTTTAAAATTTGCTTTGCAAAACTGCAGTTATATATTCAGTTATATAAAGCCAAAATGTGCAAAAAAGTGACATCTTGTTTAAAAAGTTCTAAAATTAAGAGAATAGTAAGATACGTAAGGATCTAAAAACTTGAAAAAAACAAATTTAATTCTCTTTAATATAAAACAACCACTAAAATGAACTGGAGTTGTTTTTTTAGCTTGAATTAAGTCATTGGAGTTTGTCTGCCATGTGGTTTAGCACAGTCCTTCCAATGAATAAACAGAAACCAGTGCTGTCTTTCTAATGGGCTTACTGTGATTGTTTTTATCCAGAATAAAGAGAATGTAACTGTTAGAAGTCTGAGAAGAGTACGTCGACAAGGAGATGACGAAGGATGTATGGTTGGTCCTTGAGCTGTGTGATAGAGATGGATGGTGGAGGATGTGCTAAATGTTGTTTGGTTAGTTTCCCAAGAAAGATCATTTCTTGAAGTTAGAATAGATATTGGTGGAGAGTGAAAACTGAGGTGTTTTGAGTTGTTTGCATTAAGGAAGGATCCAGAAAGAAATCTAATTTGGAGTGCACTTTGGGGTGCAAGAAAAAAAAGAGCCCAATAATATTCACTGTTTTCAAAAGTGGAAGGAAATACAGTAGATTGTTAAGATGAAAAATATTAGATCTTTGCATATTATTCTTTTTTCTGCAAAACTGTTGATCACATTGTTAAGAACCATTTACGTGAGTACAAACTAGTCACTAGTTCTGTACAAAGATGGTCAACCATAAATTTATTATACTAACCTATATAAAACAAACTGGCAGCAAAGGATAATTGGAGTTAAAGATATTGGACCAGTAAATTGTATTAGCAATCAGTTTGAATATAGATTAATCATACCTTGAGGTCATATATTCTAAGAAAAGTGTCAATCTTTAATTTCCAAAGATGAAATTTGGGTAGGAGTGCAGTTTCAGCCAAAAATGTTGCATCTTTTTATAGATTGTGCTGCAATAATCATTGGCATCTATATACTTGATTATTATTGAAATATGGAAAGATTTATGGTAGATATCTGGCACTAGTATTGCTTGGCAATTGGGTTGATTTGTCAGTTTCAGTCACTGTAAACTATAGGAATCTGGGGACATGTTTGGCTCAACTTTGTATTTTTTCATTTATATTTCAACTTTTCGGGGTGCTCCATTGGAGTTTGCAAGAATGGCATAGAGTAATTGTGCAAATGACATGGCAAAGTATGAAGGGTAGTCTTGTGCTTCTATACAATAAAAACACTGCATACATACAGTTCACACAAAAAAATGAGGTATCAACTGGACAAAAACCTAGGAAAGCCCTTTGATAATTCTTTTAGAGGTACTTGATAAATAGGTAAATTAAGAGATGCGCTTCCAAGATCCCTTGCTATATCTTAACTAGTGAATACAAAGGCACAATTCTCAGGTCATATGCAGCTAAAGATAAACTGAACTGCAGCCAGCATCTTTTATTATCCAGCCCTTAGATCGTATGTAGTGATTAGACTGCAGCTTTTAACATTCATACAAGAAGTCAGTTTAAAGGCACTGCCAAGAGAATCTAGTCTGCAGCCTCTCTTGTTTTATTCCCAGTTTCTTGCAATATGAAACCACAATATTAAACGTCTCACAAGACAGAACTTGATAACTAACTATACCTCACAGTGATCTCCCAGTTTACTCATTGCTTGGACCAAAGGTGGTGCTAATATGAACTTTAATTTTTATATTTATGTTTTTTGTTGTTGAGTTTTACCTGTGTGTATATTTGTTTGTTTTTAAAATCAAAGACCTAATGTCCTGTTTAACTAAAAAAGATTTTACCCTTGGAAAATGATTCTTTAAAACCCATAAAAATTATTTGCAATTTAGACATTACTGTGTGTTTTAACTGGCCATACTTTTTTTTTTTAAAAAAAAAGGGGGAGGAATAAAGCATATCCTTCAAATGATTGCAAATTGTATTTCTTTTTATTATTTCCAATTATTTCCATTATGTCTGCTGTGTCAGAAGGGTTAAAATTTTTATTCTTTCAACTATGTTCCAGTTATTAGCCAACTAATTTCTTCTAGCATTAAAAAATTATAAACATGTTGCAAAAACTTAATATCTTCACTTTAACATCAAGTGATTTTTTTCATAAATTATCAACATCAACTAAAATTCACAAAACTTTTTAAAAATGCTTCAAGTAACATCTAGCTAACTTTTGGGCTCAGAAGCTAAACCAGGTTAGTACTAGTTAAAACTTGGATTGGAGATTCAAATCCAGGGAATATTTGAAGAAGTTACTTGAGGGAATAAAACATTTAAAAAATCCTCCATCTCTTCCCCAAAAAACTTCCATGAAGCCACCGGGAGTCAAGCTTACTTGAAAAGATTTCCTCTATATTATACAAGACATTTATAGCAGGTACAACTTTACATTCGGATTACCATGACATGGGGAATCTTCTTGAAGAAGGCAGTGTGCATGGAAAGGATTTTTAGAAATCTTTAAAAGCAACATTTTTAAAAAGTAATTCAGAATTCTTTACTTTCTTAGCGGCATCGTACATAAGGCAATGGTAGGAATATGGGAAACTACCTTTTCACTTTTAGTGATTCATCTAACTCAGATGAATGTGGTATTTTTCCTAGCATTATCTGAAGATTTGGGAAAACCTGTTTTTCTTTGCAGGTTAATTTGTACGTTTCTGAAGGATTAACTTATCCTTCACCAAAGGCCAGAAAGAAATAAGATTATGACAGCCTGTATCTGGAAGGTGTGGTGTATCTGAGGGTAAGTTACAAAGTTTAGAGATCAATTTCCAAGTCAGAATTCATGCAAGGATATTGAATCCCATGAAATTTCATACAACATTGTGGCACTCTGGGTGAAATACCTATTCCCTACATTTTATGGGATTTGACTAATCTCTAGCTACATCTGCCTCTCCCAGAATGCTGTTGGAGTCAACAAGAAACATTGAGTATCCACAGGCTCAAATTAATTCCTGATCTATTGGAACAAACTTGGGGCTATAAAATATTTATAAAATATAAGACTTGGGGTTCACTGCTTACACAAGAAAGTTTTGTGTATAGTCGGGCTCAATGGCTGTGCACATTTCAAAATTCTGAAAATTATTGATTAAAGCAGCCCTACTTTTTTCAGTTTAAAAGAAAGATATAAACCAGTGGTAATTCTGTAAAAGTTGCATTAATTTTAATGGGTATATTCTTGGCATTTTTATATTTAAAAAATCAGACTGCTTTAATGAATATCATAGAATTCAATAAATGAATATGCTTACATGACTTCCAAAGCATTTATTTCAAATAATTTTAAAGCATGCACTATATGGTGCTGCTAGTTATTAATATACTGACATATAGAGAGCAAAGTATTTTCAGTAGAAAGGATTGTCTAAGATTTCACTAAAAAGCTTTGTTGTCCATAAAAGTACATCCTTATCAAAACAACATCAATTTTACAAATAAATAAAATAGTACATCCGGGTTTAATCACGCTTAAATAAATCCACTGAAAATAATTGAGAATGAATGTATGCATGACTAATTTAAATGCCCAATTCAATCCAGAATATTATAGCATTTTGGAGACCAACACATCAACTACTTATCAAAGTTTTTATTCATGGAAACATTCTGTAATTCTCACCTACTCTATTTATATTTGTGTTACAAATATGTAACAAAGATTTTCTTTTCTCAGTAATAGTTAACACATGAAAATGTTAATAGCACAAATGTAATTCCCAATTATTTAAGAGCAAACTACATACTGCATATCATGCATCAGATTTTACTCAAAAGCTATTTTTTAATTAGATTAAATTGGTTTAATTGCAATCTGTCATGCAATTCTGGTGATTTGTATAAAAATGTAATATTAATAATTTTAAAAATCTCCAAGTAGCTATGCCAAAAATTGAAGTACTTAGCATATGTTTGAAGTAAACCAGCATATTATGAAAAGAGAAGGAATAATATCAGTTTTAGTGGGAATCCCTTTAAGAGAAACTAACCAACAGAGTCAATCATTTCCTTTCATATGTTTTTCTTTGAGAAAAAGTCAAGATATGTGCCACATATTCTATTTGTAAATAGGTAGTTTGTCCCTTCATTTTTAAACATTTTTATCAGTAATCCTGAATGTCATGTGCCAATCATTAAGTAACCACTAGATGGTAGTGATTCAACGTTAAATGTTTCCATTATTTCTTGCCTATTGTTTTGTATGTTTTATGTATGAAGCAAAAATATGTGGCAGGAATTTTAAAGAAACCAGATGATAAGCATGGGGAGGATGTCAACAACTCACAATTGATTGCAATCTCAAGTAAAGTGCACAATAAGATTAGTCAATAGGCTCTTCAACATGAGGTATAAGGGAAGAGCAATACTGAAAAATCCTTAAGAGCATGATATCTAATTGCACATTGCAGCAATTTTGTTAAAAGGTAAGGAATGTAATCTTGTTCATGCATGGCTGGAAAACCATCTATGAGCTCAGAACATACTGCTTTGAGTTATATAATAGAAGAAGGCAATGTCAATGGGATATCTTAGTTCTGCTCCAGAAGGCCACAAAACAGAGGATATTCAGATCCTCAAAGCAACTTAACTAGGATTAATTCTTAGAGGAAATACATTTATAAAACAAATAAAACTGAAACTTTACTCTAGACACCTTTATAGACTTCCTCATGTATAAATATTAATTTCTACAGAATACCAAACCATGCAGTTGCGAATACCTGATTTATCATCATTCTGATTTGTCAGAATGATGATAAAAGTCTTAATCTATTACAGTGGTTCTCAACCTTTTTAATGCTGCGACCCCCCCAATCGGTCATAAGTCGAGGACTACTCAACCGGTCGTACGTCGAGGACTACTAAACTGGTGCAGCACCATTTGCAGAATAGGACTTTTGGTGGGCTCAGCAGGGCAGAGACAGCCTGGACAATTCCTATTGGCTTTTGAATGCCAATAGAATTAGACTCTATTCAAGAGAGTCTATTCTATTGGCTTTCAAAAGCCAATAGAATAAAAGGGAGTAGCACAGCTAAGGAAAAGGGGAAAAAATGGCGGACTGCGTTGTTTGGCGACCCCCGTGAAATGGTCGTTCGACCCCAAATGGGGTACCAACTCACAGGTTGAGAACTACTGGTCTATTAAATTTAGTTTGTAGAAAATAATCAAAATGCCGCCACATGTTCTTGTTCTACTAGAAGATTATTTTGCTAAGAAGCAAAACCTCCAGAAGTGTCATTCTGTACAACAAAAATAAGACTCTTTATGTATTGGAAGTAAATTAATTGAAGATAAACTCCCTAAAAAAGTCTCTATATTATATTGTCACCTGAAAATGCTTAAACCCTGAAAATGAAAGGCAATTAAGGGCTCCAAGCAGCATAGATCCCCACCAGCAACTCACAATTTACGGTGGGTGGCTTCTTATTTTTTCTGAAAGTGTATGCCCAATAGACACAGCAACCATAGTTTTGAGTTCCATACTTTGTGGGCCTTTCAGAAAAAAAATGCAAACACAGGTGCAGGGAGTCAGAAAGTGACTAGACAATAGGGACAATTTTCAGCTCCTTGAAATTGTGTGATCTGATACCTGTGCATGCAAATGCCTGTACATATGACCAGGTAACTGATTACATGCAGCTCTCTGTGCTGGCTCATGCATGGCTCATCCCATGACACTTGCTTACCTTGTACACCACAAGCAGCCCACATCAGCAATTCCACAGATTAACTAAATCAACTTTATTCACAGCTATGTAATTGTCACACGGAATAAAACAAACTTTTATATCTGTCTTGAAAACAAACATACAAATAAATAAAGCATTTAAAAATTGAAATCTTCTTGTCAATGACATTGAATCACAGGAATTATTTCAGATTCTACACAGGAACACAGGAAAAGAAATCAAACTCCGAGCTTGCTGCTATTCTCGTGAAATGCTCCTCTCTTGCATGAAACGCCTTTGCTTCATTTTCCTTTTTAGCTCCTCTAAACCTGTTCCAACTTTGATCATAAGTATATAAAGTTCTACCCTTATAATAATGGTTAAAAGAAGCCTCCCTATTTTCTAGTACTTCTTTCTCTTCACTCCCAAGTGCCATCCTGAACTAGTTTTCTTCCATGCAAATATATTTTTAGTTTCCATGTGACAAAACGATGCTGCTGATGGAGGGAGGTGGAGAAAAAGCAGCTTAGTAGACAAGTGCAGGTACTTAGGAACTGGGTTCAGATCTACACGTGCGCACAATGCCAAGCAAGTGAAAACAGCAGAGGGTTCTTAATATTTTCCCGTGATTCTGTTCTGTTCTGCGAGCGTTTGCAGTTGGAGTTTCTGGTGACTCTTCCCCCCCTCCCCATGTTTTCTTGGAACAAACAGCCACATGACTCTGGCAAAAAGCCGAATTGATCTTAAGGCCTGAACACATGTGTCTAGTATAAGCTTCCTACCTTTTATAACTTTGGACTTTTTAAAAAATATATATTGTTAAGATATTTACAGCAGAGATTGATAATTGGAGGATTAATGTTATTTTTGAGGGGGGGGAAAGGCCATAGTTTCAAGTCAAAACAATCTTTCCTTATCTCTTAATTATTATGGTTGCAGACTTTTTCTTCAACATAGGTAATTATAATGTTTGCTTTGGTGTGATGTAATTAGGAGTACAATAAGCTAAATATAAGGAACTGAATTGAACTGCACCTATTAGACAATTAGTGGTCAAGAAAAGATGTATGCATAATCCATGAAGACACCAGGGAACAACATGAATTCAAAAGAGACTTGACTTACACATGTGCAATTTTGAATTAAGGGTTAAAGTTATTCTTTGGGCTACAGAAAAAAAATACTTTTAGCTGTTTGGAGTAAAAAAAAAAAAAAACAACAACTCACTCACATGCCCCATTCATTCATGTCCGTGATATGAAGAAATAGGAATTTGAATGAATGAGAATGCACCAACAAAAAAATTATTAGACTTTTTTGAAATGCTTAGCTTTATAAGCATTACTTTTGCACTTAGAAATGGGTTGGAGGAACAACTTAGTGCACAATTTATAGAAATACCAAAGGACATGAAAAAGAGTGCAGAGAAATTTTTAGTGTGCAAAGATGCATTTTTAATTTTAATACTCAGGCTGTGCTTGTGCGATTTTTAAAAAAATTACTGTGGTATGTAAAGTGAAGACCATTATTTTGATTAATTTATATTCATAAATTAATCAAAATCCATGACCATTACAAGAATCAGAAGACTACTTCTATCTTCCCATTAGACTAGATTGAAATCAATGTAATTGAAACAAATGGATGATGAAGTAGACTGAACTGCAAATGTGAAATCCAGCAGACTATAATACCTTTCTTGCACATTTTCCCTAGTTTTTGTCTGCAACATTGTTTAATAGCCAAAACTATATGTAAATTATGGGAAGAATGTAAAAGATGAGCTTTGCAGCACTTTGGATTGAAAAGGTATTTAGGGACATCGGACACTCACATGCCAAATGCAGAACACTCCTTAAAGTAATATCATGCTATGTCTTTTCCTGGACTCATGATCTACTTAAAGAGGCAGCTATTTTAAGAATTTGATCACTGATGCTCTTTGACTTCCTAGATGTACTCCAAAGTACTCTTTCCCCCTTTGAATCCAAAATGCTGCACAGTCCTAATTAGTAAATTTCTAGCATTTTTAATGAAGCCAATATTTTCCCATGCACAACAGCAGTACCAGTTATAATAATGCATTAAGTAATTGCTAAGCAGAAAGCTTATGGTTAAGTTTTCCCAAACATCATTTCCTATCAAAACAGCATTCCATAAAAAGGAGAAAAATAAGTAATGTTACAAGTTGTTAACATGCTAGCCTAAACATCTTTGTGGTAAAAATGTTTTACCTTTGAAATGGACATAATGTATAATCTCCAACTGTTACCTGGATTGGCCTTTGCTGGTTTGTTGCCTCCCTCTGAAAGCCACAATTATATCCAAGAAACCTATAAATATTGATGCCCACAAAATCTTTTTTGCTGCCTTTTCAGACAAAAGACTGAAGAACTGCTTTCTCCATTAACATAACTGAAAAAAACTATTGTGAGTGGTAATGTTGCATATCCGTTTAAAAAAACTTTATTAGATCAAATTTTCTCTGCATGAAATCTTATTAACCTTAAAAAATTTATCGTTACCTGTCAATTCAAATATTATTTTGTACTTGTAGGATTTTTTTAATTCCACAAATATATATAAGATGTTGATTTCTTTATGAATTTTGCAGGAAACATATAATCTGTTCCTAACAATATTAATTTAGAAATAAGTCCCACTGATTTCAGCAGAAACACTGCCAAATTCAAGTGGCTTAAGATTCCAATCTAAACTTAGAATTCTTTATTTAGATGTTTTCATTGATAGCAATAGGACATATATTATCAGCTGTATTACTCAAATCATTGGAACAAAAACTCCTGGTTCAAATGCATTTGCAAAAACACAGCAAGGTGGAGTTCCTGAGTGGAGTGGCATAAATTTAATGTCCACTTTACATTAAATAACCTAGTGCTTAATGAGATTATTTTTTTAAAAAAACTAGAACATAATCATTTCAGAATTTCCTGGAACAAGCAAACACTTTACAACTAATTCTTCCATTTTAGAACTGTAACTAGTTCAGCAATAAGTTTCTTGAATGATAACATAGGAGAGAAGAACCTAGAATCCTGAAAATGCTACTGAGCAACCATTCCCCCAACACCATAAGTCATGCTGGCTAAAGGCTGCTAGTGATTGTGGTTCAGTAATGTCTGGAATGGCACATATTTCTCACCCCATTGAACCAGTTTTCATCTATATGGGACTTGAACTGTAGCATGAAAACCTATCTGGTTGTACATTAGTTCCCTTTATAAGGATCTGGCCAAACATGCAACCTGATGTACTCCAGATATCTGGGCCTGCAGTTGCTACAGTTCCTTGTTTTTGGCCATTCTTGGTAGAATTGATGAAAATCAAAACCTAAAAAATCTGTAGGGCACCATTTGCCTAGCTCTGATCTGTATTGATACTGACAAAATCCTTGCTGGTTCCCAGATTACAATGTTGAGTGATTGCTGCTTGCAACCATTCAAGGTGATTTTGTAACAACTGTCCAGCACTTGAATTAATTTCATATAGTGGGGGTATAGGATTAGCATAGTATAAGTTGGGTATTTCTGTTAAACACCACATGGCTACTGTAATTTGAAGAAGCCCAAAGCTAGACAACATTAACTGAGGATTTGTATAGTCTTCCACAATCATAGTACGGTAGATGAAAAACAACCAAATGGTAGTATATCTAATTACTGAGATATCAAATGTGTAGAGAACGTAGGTTCTTGAATACTGACGGCCAATTTGTCATATAAAATGGAGTGGGTTTTTTTCTGTGAAATATCACCTTAATTATAAAATATGTCAACCATGCAGTACAGCAAAATCTCTGCACTGTAGCATATGTACTAGAAGTGTTCAGCCCAAACAATATTATTTGGACTGGATGAAAAATGGCATGTCAATCATTTTTTTCTTATATTTCTATCTTAATTTAACTATTCACTCTCTAAACCTGGATTGTCCATATTGTGGAATTGAAATTGTGAGCTAGGGTTTGAGGTTGTTGTCATTTTTCAATCAACCATCTCAGACATAGTTAGCTCATTTGAAATATATTAATTATGAAATGCAACTTCTGATTTAAGATTTGTTAAGTGGAACAGCTAAAAACAAGAAAACAATGGATTACCGAAAATGACATAAAATATGATCTGATGACTTGCGACCAGAGACAGAAAAAAATTCCAAGAATTCAATTATGCCAAGGATACATACAGTTCTAGGAGAAAGCAAAACTAACATGTTCTTCATGTACGAATCCTTCATTAAATCCAAGAGGCAAATAAAAAATAAATAAAACCCATTTTGGTCCTGATTTCTTTTCCTTCAACAATATAAATCCAACTCTGTAACACGCATTCATTCTGGCAAAAGATTATACAACTGATCATTTTCTTTTCCTTCAAACCTGGGATACATAATGAATGGCCCAATGACAAATTAAAAATAAAACTGACATCATGTACCATCATTTTCCCAAAGCACCACTTCCTAGTGGAATGAACTTTGGAAAGCAACAATAAAAGAGGAAAGTAATTAAAGAAGGAAATGATTTCAGGTTTATGAGATATGAACAGCTGCTGCCTTGAAAAAGTAGAAGAGGACAACTACAGAAAGTAGAATCAAAGTCAACGGTTAGCTGCTAGTCTTCTGTGCACTGCACCACATAGAAAAACCAATCCAAGCATAGTCTTCCTTAGTAGTAGCATGTGCTGCATTACAATTACTTGTAGAATATGGCAGTCACTGATATGATTAGGAAAACTGGGGGGAAATCCTATGTGAGGCTCTCTTGCCCATGAAGGTAGTTCTAGTACTGAAATGATTTGTCCTTATTCTATTCCTCTTGTTTCATTCATTTAGTTCACTTAATGTAACATGAAAATCTGCTTATTTCACATTATTTTCTTCTTTGATCCTTGGAATCCTTCCAACTGGGAAGAAAGGACAGGAAAAATGCAATGGGGAGCCAAGGAAAGGTAGACATGAAATCCAGCCTTTCTTGCTGGCTCCACATATTAAATGTTCACAGGAGCACTTTGTTAGATGCCAAGGAAAGAAGACATGTTTAGCCCTCAAATTTCAGGTGGGAGAAGGCTGTGCCCACAGTTAACCACATTCAGAATTAGCTACATATTTAAAGAAGGGAACCACTTCCTCCCACCTTCCTTGTCCTGGTTAAGTTTTATAAAGATCCTCTTCCTAGTTCCTACCCTTCCTGCTATGCAACTTTAAGTGCTGCGATAGGTTTTGATTATGTCCTTGATGGCACGTCTACAGATAGGACAACAGGCATTAGTCATCTTCTTGAGTTTGAGCCCACATGTATAACACAGACACATATGTCCACAGGAGTAAATCACAGTATCCACCATATTCTCATAGCAGATAGTACACTCATCATTCCAAGTTCCTGAGATGGAAGAGGAAAGAGGGGATTCTGGCATACTGATTGGAGAGTTTGGAGCCGTACCTGCAAAATAAGAGACACTTTTACTTTTTAAATCTGTAATCAGCTTTACAGTTGCCCTAGGATTTCTAAGCCAAAGGATAAAATATGGAGATTGTGACCACATTTTTAAAAAACTCTCAAAACACATCATCAATAGACAAATACTAAACTAGATAGAACATTCAAATCAAAAGAAGTGTTAAATTCTCTTTATGTACATTTGTTATGTGTGTGTTATTTCCAAAATACTACAGACCTACATAACAATCTCTTGGATGACTTATATCATTACTGAAATAATATATAAGCTTCAGAATCTACTGTTTTCATAACTTTGTATTACGTATTTTTTCTACAATGACTTTTCCAGTCAGATTTACTATGTTCTGAATTCTGGCATATGAAACATTTTTCAGTGCTTACAATATCTTATTCTTACTATCAAAATACATAATGAAATAAGTTTTCTTCTCCTTTGCTACTGATTTATTAACAAAAATACTTAGTGTCCAACCTAACTTCAGGATCCCCCTTCTTGATCCATTAGTAAAGCTGTCATATGAACATCTTTGATATAAAAATACTATTTCATGGCATAAATATTTGAGAGGAAATCATGGGAAAGGATTGTCACCCTATTTAGTGGAATTATACTTTTTCCAAAAGTATTCCGTTTATATTTATGCACAATCTTTCCCAGCATTAAGCTAATATGGTGTCATTCTGTTTCAGGTTTGGACTTTATTTCTTAGCAACCCCATCCAATGCACTCAGAGGCATAGGATTAAGGAAATTGTTATCCAAAATTTTTAAGTGGCACCAGAAGTCATTGCACTGGGCCTGTGCCTCCACAGATGGTGCTCTTTGCTAATTCCATATTGCTACTACATATATTTTGAATGTTTACCATTTGTTAAAATATTGTGTATTTAAATATTGAGTTCTCTGTTCTTTTTAGCAGGCAGAGAATCTAACTCCTACTCCTTGTGCATTGTGAGTGATCACAAAGAAAAAAGAATATGGATTTTCAGTTTTATAAAATAATGAAATATTCAGAACTGGAAGGCATGCAACCTGGTGCTGTGGGAGAAATACTCACCACTAAGTGAGCTGCCAAGTGGGCCAGAACCAGATATACATAGGACAGGATCAGAAACATCATTGCAGAGAATGGAAGATGAATTGGGGGATGAGGTGGGTGAGCTTGGCGCTGAGAGTCCCAGGTGTTCAGCCATGAGAGTAGAACCTGTAAAAAAGAGTAATATAATCCAGCAGTTCAAATAGCCCTGTTATGCTATAATTGGAACACACATGTATTCACATCTTCATTGTACTGCAAAGTTTGTTGATTTTCTTTGAGTCAGTCCTATTGCTACAGCCTAGTTTATCTCACAGAGTTGTGGAGCAGATAAAACAGAAAAAAAATATGACCTTTTTTATAAGCAAAAAAAGGGAGTTTGGGAAGTTTTGTAGGAATAAAATAAGAAATGAATTTGTGCAATTGCTAGGAAATAATCTTGGGTTTAGAACACATGCCTGATTACTCTGAAAGCAGAGAATATATATAGTATATGGCAGGCAGGTGGGTAGTTTATTCCCTTTCACCTCTGCCCTTGCTATTTGTCTTCTCCTTTGATTAAAGAGAAAACCAGGAAATTAATGTAGTATGCTAAGGTCTGATGTGTGAAATGAGAACAGAAATAGGCAGGTGTATGTGTGTGTGTGAGAGAGAGAGAGACAGAGAGAGGGAGAGAGAGAGAGATGGGGGGGGGGGAGAAAGAGAAAAAGAACAGCCTGTATTTGCTCTAGGTTTTATAGACCTTTTGGTCTAAACCACCCTATTAATGTTTACATAGGGTGTTTATATAACCTTTAGCTACTTTCACATCCTAACATTCAATGAGCAGAATGACAAACGGCAAAATATTATTCATCAATAAAGCATATGGTTAGTGTATTAAATTCTCAAATTCAGCCTGTTAAGTCTCCAATCAAAGTTACCCTGCCCATGGTCAATAGGAATGTTTTCTGCCTAAGACATGGAGAACCGTTGGAAGAATATCTATGCCATGTTTATGTTCCATTCTTTTCATTAAAAGTTTAAGGTTTACCTGTGGATTTCCCACTCTTTTAGCCCCACAACACTAAGCCTCAGTGGTGGGTTAGACTCATAAACAGCCCTCAAATATGTGGATTATATAAGTGTGTCAGAGTTGGGGGGGAGAGAAGAAGGAGAGACTATTTATTATTTTTTTTAAACCACCCCAAAATAAAACCTGTCTAGCACTATTTACAGAAAAACATACTAAAATATACAATTTTGAATAAAAACATATGCAATAAAATAAATACCCGTAAAATGAAAAATGAAAAAATGCAAAGAACGCAACAGTGAGACTGTCATTCAAAGTCTAAAACAAGATGAATTAAAATAAAGTTAAAAATTCAATTTCCTTTTCTCTATATAAACTCGAGCTATATTTGTATATACACGTTATAATATTTATATGCAATACAACAACCAATCATTTTTTGCATTTTCTTACATTTAACTCAATATTGTTTGCTGGATCTAGGCTGAAAGAACCATTGTGGGTATAACATTAGCCTGACATACAGAATATCACCTGTGTAAAGCCTGGCAGATCAGTTTTTTACATTACAGTACTATTTTATGTTCCCTGAGCTACCCACATTATTGGATTGTTTAACACAGACATGTCAAACACAAGGTCCGGGGGCCGGATGCGGCCCGCAATGTGGTTTCATGTGGCCCATGAAGCCATCCTAGAAACAGTGAGGGAATGGTCCCCACTGCCTTGGCCCCGGCCCAGGCCGCCCGGGAGCCAATGTACAATTTTGTGATGGCTATCTGTGCTGAAACGCATTTAGTCTTAGCTCCACAAGTCTGTCTGGAAACAACAAGGGACTGGCCTCTGCCACGTTGGCCTCGCCCCCTGGGTGCATGCTGGGGAGGTGTCACCCTCTGTGAATAATGAAGAAATGCACCATCGCCTGGAAGTGGCCAGCAAATGGCCCTCGCCTACTTCACATATCCAGCTTGATGGGCTGCGGGGGACGGGTTTCAGCAGGCAGTAGGGCGCTGTCCTCACAGCGCTGAGAGGCTGAGCCAGGCGGTGCAAATCCAAAAAGAAGAGTGCTGCTGCTCAGCCCCCAGCCTGCCCAATTTCAGCAGGCAGCAAAGTGCAAAGCTGACAAGCTTTGCATTGCCCTGCTCAGCCTCTCGGTGCTGTGAGGAGAGTGCCCTGCTGCCTGCCGAAATTGGGCAGACTGGGGGCTGGGCAGCATTGCTCTTTTCGGATTCGGACTGCCTGGCTCAGCCTCTTGGCACCTCACTGCCTGCCGAAACCAGGCAGGTTGGGGTCTGGAGGGCATTGCGCAGGTAACATTGCACATCGCCACTTCCAAGTGATGATGCATTTCTTCATTCCTCACAAAGGGTGACACCTCCCCAGCTGCATTTCTTGCCTGTTTTTCTCTCTCCCTCATCTCAAATATTTTCCCACCACTCTGTTCTAGGAAGGAAGGAAGGAAGGAAGGAAGGAAGGAAGGAAGGAAGGAAGGAAGGAAGGAAGGAAGGAAGGAAGGAAGGAAGGAAGGAAGGAAGGAAGGAAGGAAGAAAAGAGAGGGAGGGTCTGAAGGAAGTCCTGCCTTAGTCCTGCCCTGCTGCCCTTTTACCATCCCCTTGCCCCCTTCTGCTGGTCTATCCTGGGGGTCTCTCATCCTATTGCTAAGGAAGCTTTGGTCTCCTCCCATGGAGAGGGAATGGGCCTCCCTCTAACTTTGCCTTCATAACCATCATGAGCAACCTGGCTAAGGAGAGCAGGCACAGCAACAGCAGCCTTGAGGAGGAGGTAAGTGCAGCTGGGCACCCCCTTGGGGTAGTGGGGCTGGGCTTGGTGCCACGGATGCTTGAGGGCTGGGCTGGGCATTTGACCTCTGCTGCCCAGGGCTCCGGGAAGGCTGCGGCACCATCCAGCCCCCCCCTCGCATGGCCTGAGAGGAACAGTGAGGCTTTTCCAGTGGACCATGCCTTGGTGCTTGCCCTGGTCCCTCCCCTTCTGCAAGAGAACCTCATATCTGTCCCACTCCTGCCTAGGCCCCATAGGCACCCTTGATGCGAACAATGAAGAGCTAGCCATGCCAACCCAGTAGGCCACACCCACTCCAGCCACACCCACCCAGTAGGCCATGCCCACCCTGGCCACACCTACACAGCCCCCAAGGACAACCGCAATGCTGATGCGGCCATCAATGAAATTGAGTTTGACACCCCTGGTTTAACAGATTCCAAAGTGTATTATTCCATTTGTCATTTGATGCAGAAAAATTTCACCCCAGCTCCCAAAAAGTGTAAAATGACAAGTACTGCAACATGTTTTGCAGGCATGTAAGTAATAAGGACTTTGTAATACTTTTCAACTGGGTTAACAGAAAGCTGAGCAAAAGACAAGAAGACTCCTTCAGCATTTCAACAGTGCACAAATAGTTTTTTTTAATTAAATAAATAATCCATCAGAAAAATCAGCATAATGGGAAAGCAACATACTAAATTAAAAAAGAACTGGGAACTCCATGACTTAAAAAAGAACTGGGAACTCCATCGCTCAAGAAGAGACTGGACAACCACTTGTCCAGAATAGTAGAGAGTCTCCTGCTTAACTAGAAGACCTCCAAGGTCCCTTCCAATCCTATTATTTTATGTTCTAACTTTCTCCTAGTTTTTGACTCTCTGCAAGTCAGACAAAGGTTACAATTACTATTCGACTGGAATTCCACTAGTAACGACTGGAGCAAAGATTAGAGACCTACAGAACTATCTTCCCAGTTGAGAGGGCATACCTACCATTGCCTGCGAAAGTCAGCTAACAAGTTTGAAAACAGATAGGTACAAACATAGCCTGGACCAGATTCCAAAGGGTTAATTCTGTAATTATTGAAACAATATCACATCATCTATGTTATCTATAATGCGAATGTCACTGTACTTTTTGAAAAATTTCATTCCTTCTGAAGACAATACTTATACTTTGCTCTTCACAAAATGACGTATATAAAGGCAGTCTTGTGAATTAAATTCTAGCAAACCTAAACACTAATGTGGAACGTACAGTTTTAGTTATAGCCCATAATGTATTTTATCTATCAGCAAATACTTAAATATCCAAATCACATTCACAAGTCAGTTCTTCAGAAACAGATCTCACAATAATAAACTGACTTTACAGTAACTATTTCAACTTTCTATCTTACTTGATGTAGCACAAAACTATTCATTTTAATTTTACCATTTTAAAAAGGAAAGCAGTAGAGGAAAGGCAATAAAATCAATAAGCCACTCAAAATGCCAAGATCACTGAGGACAATGTTTTGACAAAAGTCAGCTGTTTCTAATGGACCACTCATTAACATTTTGGCCAATCCGGGTAGTGCTTGACTATTTTCTTTTGGCAATGAATGTGACTCTACTTTTGTAGATAATTATAAAATGTTAACTGATTACCATCAGTTCAATAATGATAAAGAAGAAAGGAATGAGGAGACAATAGCCTCTAGCTTAAAATATGAGCCAGAGTAACTATTCCCCATCAATTCCACAAGCAGACTCTGTTTTCATTTGCAAGCAAATGTTCATCTGTTCTAGATTATACATTCCCTCAACTCTGCATTGCCCCAGTTGAAAAGAAACAACTTGCCCAACATGGCTCGATAGATGACATTTTATTGTCAACATGGGTGTTATTTTTAAAGACTCATTAAGTCCATGAATAAGACAAATTAAAATAACCTTTAATTATACTGACCTTAAAGTAGCACCCTCACACTTATTCCAATAGGATCTGAACAAAACTTCCGTATGTATAAAATCTATTTAACTTTGCCACCCTTTCCCTTTGAGAAAAGTCAGGTGACTGATGGTGACTTGAAAAAAGGCAAGAGAGCAAAATAGAGATCAGCAGTAGAGATACAGATGTCTCATCAGTATAGTTTTCTGCAAGACTCAAAGATGGGCAGAGATTATTCAACTAGATAGTAGAAAAGGCCCTTGTCCAGGGAGTACAAGGTTCGTCATATTCAGATTATAAAAATTGGATGCCAACAAGCTTACGGAAGCCACATATTGGTCCATCAGTTTTGGCTTCATTTTCCCATTGCAGACAGCAATTTAAACCAAGACTGTACTGGAAGAAAAAGATTAAATTCCTCTCCTTCCAATACAAAGTC